TTAAATTCTTTGAATTGATCATTGTGATCATTAAGAAGATCATCCATTTGACAGATGATTAGTTGACTCCTATGATGATCGGTGTTTCAGGAACCCGCCGTTGATGTTTTAAATGTTGGATAAACAAATTGTATTGATTTAAAATAGAAATTAAAGAAATTAAACCGACAACAATTGCATTTAATGTCTTTCTCACAAACGCGCAAAATTTTTGACCAATTATTGGTCAAAACCGGAACCGAATCTTCTGTCGAACACTACTGACAACAAACTTAGTAAACGATACCAGGAAGTAGTCTCGTTGACTATTACATATACTTCCTGTTACTCTAGTACTTTAATGCTGTCCTTAATGGTATGTAACTAAACTGACCACTTTTTTTCTAACACGAAGCGGGACATTGATTTAAGACAATGAAAATAAATATACATAATATATAAACATATAATAAATATAATATTATATAAACATAACTTTTTAATTTTATTCATTCCGAAACGATTAAAAATTTAAAAGGCACAAAGAAAAAATCATCTGTTCACTATTTTTTATTACAACAACATTGGTATATTTTTAAATATTTCTATATTTCTCAGAGGAACAAATTCGTTTTAATAAAGACGATTTTAAATAAGAATAAAATTTGGCACGTTCCTTTTATGTTGACCTTATCAGCTTATCAGCATCGCCTTCAGAACTGGAGCAGTTCAATATCACCAGCACCACTATGGGAAACACTTAAAAGTGCGACACCTTTCGCATCTGACATCCGAAGGAGTGTTTATTTGCTTAATAAATGGGTATTTTGTTTGTAGGTTGACATTAAATGAACACTTAGTATTCGGCATAACTCTAGGAAAAATTTCAAAACAACAAAACTTCAAATTGTCTACACAACTATTTAACGAACATTACACAAAAACATAAAGAAGTCAGAATACATGCGCGTGGGTAGCCAATTGAAAGAAAAAAATGCAACATTTCTCCCTCTCCTCCTCACCGCGTTACTAGGTAACCGAGAACGCATGCATGCGGGGAATAACCGGGAATAACCGATCGCGGTTCCGCGCTGCTCATGTCCATGTCTGACGAGCGTGGTTTTAAAATTTCGCGCGGTTTCGGAAAACGCAACGATTTTGCGTCCCGAAGATTTGTTCGGGGACAAAGGGACAGCTGTCCGAGAAAAGGGACAGTCCCGTTCAAAACGGGACGGATGGTCAGTTTATATATAACTAATACAATTATTTGAGATAAAAAAATAAATAATGCTCGGAATGAGATTCATTAAGCTTTACAATTATTTATGAAAACACAACGCAATAGAATTAGGAATAATAATCACAAAATATGTTAGCATTATTTATATAAAAAGTAATAATGCGCGGAAACTGTTTCACATAATTACTTTACATTAAATTAAAACTTGTGATGCATTTGCAAACATAATTATATATTTTACACAAACAAAGAGTACTGGCACAGGGAATAAAAAAATTTCTTTTGTTACGCTAAAGAAATATAACTTCTTACGTGCGTACATAAGTGCACACACACTTTTTTTTAGAAGAGCAAGCTCATTAGCACCCAGTAATAGTGGGGGCTAGTCCGGTATCGATCAGAATCAAACTTGGATTATCTGAGTTCTTTTTGTTTGAAAAGATTCCAAGCGAGCCCCGGTTACTTCACTAGCCAGACAAAACGCGAAGGTGTAATACTTCCAATTTACGCCACTCTCCTGCAGCCGTTACTCGTGCATTCCATACAAGCAAAGTTTATGTTAAGAACGCTGTGTTCACCTGTAATCAGCGCCATCTATTGGTGTTTTGCCGCCATAAATGAAGGCTCACCCGAGACAATCCTGTGAGTACTTCCCAGGACAAGTTTGCCTATACGTGCAACATAAAAAAATGCTACGTCACCCTACCACAGTTTTAATTTGATGTATTTTATTTTAATTATATGTCCCCAGGTGTCTCCTCCTAATTCTTTTCGTTCTATACAGGCCAATCCTTTATTGGCGTGCCTCAGTACGCCAATAAAGCCGATACGCTGACGAGAAGACAGCCTGTAAGTTGTTCTTTTACCGTACGCCGAGTAATTGCGCAACTAAACTCACTTCGAGTACATTCATCCCCTAAAGCTTAGCTATTTTATGACGAAAGGCGCTCGCTATTTGCATTGATAGCCACGCAGTTTCTTCTGTTGGACGAACGTCCCGGTGAAGTACCATAAATTATATTATTATATTGTTTTAAGTGTCTGTCCAGTGCTCTAACATTTCCTTTAATAAGACCCTTTATCTCATCAATCATTAATGTAGGCTACGCAGCCACGTTCCCACTGCCATTGTTGCTGTCCAAAACTGGCGGTTCACGTACCATCAGGTGAACTGCCTGCTCTGCCCATCTAATAAAAACCGTTTGCGGTCGGGGAATCCCTGGGAATGAGCAACGTCCCCACGCGGTTCCCTTGTCTCTAAATGTAACTGGAAGTAAAACCTGAATGTCAACTTTTTGCTATTCACAATTTCTCAGCGAAAATTAAATATCAAGAGAGAATTATTGATTAAAAAAAAAAATAGCACGCGCGTCAACCCACATTGCTATTAACTAACGAGTGTCAGAAAGAGGTACAGAGTCACTGCAAATCGAACCGGGGGGGCATAACGCTTTACCTTGTTAAATTTACCAACTCACATTCCGCAAGTCGTGTTTAAGAACTTCTTTCCAAAACTACTGAGTTTATTAACCATAGATGATACACTTATATAGAGTATACTAGTCTTGTCTATGGTTGTACAGAAGTAAATAAGCTCTTTCTATGACCTTGTTAAGTGACAAGTGATGGGACTGTCGCCACAGAATTACATATGTGATATTAGATTTTTAGAAAATGGATAACAAATAACACACCAAAGGAAACTTCACTCTTCACTCCTAGGCAATCGCCGGCTTTTCGTAGAACCTCAATGCGTTCCGAAGATGCTGCGTAGCAGATGAAATGCTTTTGCGCCATCTGGTAGTATTTTCCATACTCAAATGGCATTCATTTAACCAATTTTGATGGATATGGGTTCAACGTTATAGAAGGGGATATATTACAACGCCATCTGTTGGCGACTTAAAACAAAGGGTATAGCAGCTAACCTTAGAGAAAAAGAATATACCGACATAAATAGTAAATATTTGTTGATTGTCAAATTTGATGAAATGCTTTTGCGCCATCTGGTAATATTTTCCATACTCAAATGGCATTCATTTAACCAATTTTGATGGATATGGGTTCAACGTTATAGAAGGGGATATATTACAACGCCATCTGTTGGCGACTTAAAACAAAGGGTATAGCAGCTAGCCTTAGAGAAAAAGAATATACCGACATAAATAGTAAATACTTGTTGATTGTCAATTTTTTATAGTAATAAACTTTGTTATGATTAACCTTATTTTTTTAAATATTTAGTTTATTTTTCTTCTTTGATTAATGCATACAAAACATGTATCAATAAAATCCATTAAGATAAGGATCTTGCGTTTTGATTAATCATTATGTAATCGTAAAAATAAATGACTTAATAAAATAGTATATTTATTATATTTTGCAATAAAGACCGTGGTATTAAGTATAACTTAAAATAAAAAAACAGAAAGGAATGCAACAATAACAGCTTAATTAGGTCAATGATAAATTAAATAACAAAGTGTCTAACATTGTATAGGTATGTATGGCTTGACCAGAAAAATAAAAAACTTCGACGTGTTGCGAAAAACCAATAGAACTAAATTGTTCTGGTGTGGGGGCAACCACATCAAGTTTGTAATAGGATATTAACATCAATGATGTTTAATATTACAGATGATGAATGTCCATACTGTGTGGCATTTAAAAATTGTTAAGTTCTAAGTTACCATGACATATATAAGTAAATGTGACAGATTATACAGAAAGAGATAGCAGTCTATAGAATTACACCGATTGGTGTAATTAGAGCGCTTGAGGTTCGGCGGGCTACTAACATATTTATTGTAGTTAATATCATTAACGTTATAATTTGGCACTTTGAAACAAATATAGCTACGATTTAGACAAAGATGGCACTAATTTTAATGAACAACGTCATTCGTCAAAATTAGTTTTTCCTCACGGAACATAAACAAAGTTGACAATACAAAATTCGATGGTGGCAATATGTATCTACTCTGTGCCAATTTTTGAGGACAAAATTACAGTTTAACGGCGAGGGATTTCTTTATACAGTCTATTCAACATTAGTTATACTGCCAATTTTCTGCACAAACTATTATATATTTGACACTGATAGTATGAGCTATGGAGTGTGAAGGTAAGGAGCACCATCTTTAATGGCGTATAAGTTATGGTACAAGCCGCGAATACCAGTTAAAAAAGAAAACCACCAGGATAGCGCTAGCATAGCAAAGGTATTTGATTACATACCTTGCTGCATTGAAATGTTTTCTAAATAAAAATATTCATATAGTATATCTTTCGATGGACACTTATCATACACAAAGCTGGTTCTTCTTTTTTTTTATCTGGTTCTTCTTTCCTACACTTCAAAAATGAATGTTTGATTGTGTGTATGTATTTTGATTGTCACACATATTATAATATATGAACTTTAGGTTTCTGCCTGCAATGCCTTTGCATGCAAAATTTAACAATGCCATATCTACACATGCAATGTTAGATATGGTATTGGAAATTATTTATATTGTACTTTTTTTTTTTCATTTCGTTACATGAGAGAGAAGATAGATACAATGTAAAGAGAGAGAGCGACGTATACACTAAATGCAAAGTGGTAGAATAAAAGTTTCGCACATGTGTGTGTTGCAGATGACGTTATTTATCACTTTGTATTGTGATTATTCAGTACTTTCCTATCTTTGTGTTCAGTAGTGTGTGTTTATTTCACTGAGTGTGTGTGTGTGTGTGTGGCGTGCGTGTGAAACCAATAAAAGCCTAAGCAGCCAACTTATTCTTCGACCTCGTTGAAATTCAACGCGTCGTACTTCTCTTCGTCGCTATCGCGGAGTTTCTGTGGGGGGAACAAATAAGCTTTAGTCATATAATGGTCTGTGCTCATGTTAAGCAGTGACGTCACCACTTTGTTATGGAGCACATATCTTTAAACTAGCGGGCATCGAACTCACAAGCATTGGCAAAGCGGTGCAGTCTACATGGGTAGAGCTAGGGAAGTTTACGCTCTTGTACAACTAACTTTTACGTTGATCTAGTTGGTTAAATGAGGTAGCCTGGGCTAACTGTTTTTAAAAATTCACAACGCACCAGCAACCGGCAGATGTTGCATGGGCGTTATATGCATAATCACTTAACTGCTTGCTAATTTTTCACATATAAACAAAGAAAAAAACTCAAAGAAATTTGGACTACAAAACCCAAAGCGAGCCAATCTCTAATCTAAGTATATAAGTACAAATAATAATTAATAATTAAGTAAACATAACAATACAATAACAAGTTCATTCTGTTCCACACATCACAGGCTGTAGTGTGTTGCCATAAATAAGACACTAAACTCACTGACATATGACTGAGATTTGAACCCATGACCTAAGACAGCTAGACATGAAAACTACTCAATCAGCACCGAACAACGAAATAAACAATGGGATGTCCCAAAACAAACCGCTAGCAACTCAGGCTCCCAGGTTCCGAAGGACTTCTTAAATGACTCCGGCTCTAAGCCCTGCTTGGTCATAACAATAACCCAGTTTTGAGGAAAACTCGCCTTCAAAGGTTGCAAATGTTTCTGTAAAGTAAAATGTAAAAATTATAATCTTTCTTTTGGAAACAATACAAACATAGAAATAAAATAGAATGATAACAGCTAAATTAGTATAAAACTGTATTGTAGCTATTAACACCTTCCTGTTTCAAGGAAACAGTCTCCCAAATAAAGTTGAAAAAAGAGCGAGGGAGTTAGAGATAATAAACGTAAAATCTAAATATTTTTCATGGAATTGGCAACTTATCATCATCATCATTTCAGCATGTTTGAGTCCAATGCTGAACATAAGCCTTCCCTTATCGACTGCCATAAAGTACGATCCTGAGCCACTTGCATCCATTGACTTCCTGCACATTCGCACATATTGTCACTCCATCTAGTGGGGGGTCGTCCTACACTACAATGGACATCTATTGCAATGTTTTGTTACAGTTCTTTTTCCAATTTACATTATTAAAGTAATAGGGCTAACTCTTACATGTATGTCAAAAGTCACTTTGCGCTCCTCCTCTGTGACATCTTCACCGATCCAGACAAACAGTTCATCACCCATGTCCAAAACGAATACCGCATCCTGTCTGAGATCCTTAAAAAGTTCAAAAAATAACCTATATAATTCTATCAGTTTAAAAATTACGCTGATGTTGTACATGCAAAAGTTTTTTTTAAAAAAATTATTCCCTCTTTACATTTATATTTATAATATTACAATTCACAATTTTCTTGCAAACATTACTTACGGTTTGACTGAAGTTCGGAATCTCCTCAAACACCATATTAGTCCCGGTCACAATGCCTTTATAGAGTTTAGGCCATTTGGAAGTCATGTCTTTAAGGCTATTTGAAGCTGAAAATTTAGAAATGTTCAGATAAATGATTCAATCAAATGCTTATCGTTACGATTACAAATAATGTGAGTCATTCAGTAACTTCATGACGCACTGATATTATACGAGAGAACTTTAAATAAAAACTGTATCGAGTATCACTACAAATGTAAAAATATATTATTAATTCACTAAATTTCCAATGTTTACAAATAACATTGTAATGTAACTGTAAGATAAAAAAATTTCAAATACTGTCAGTGTCATCGTCATCAGTTAAGTAATTGACAGAGAGATTAATGTGGTTTTATGATAACGATTTTTGTTTTTGGATTTTATGGCCCGGTATCAAAGACCTTTAGGCCAATTATGACAAGGACAACGATCTACGAATGCTGGAACTAGCGATGGGCTTTGAATCAACGAACTAGTTACATCAACGGTTTATCTTTTTACAACGCATAAACCTTAACCGCCGTGAAATCAACTAATTGAATTCGTCAACGGCGTTTAAGAAATTATGTCGTTTAATAAAATTGACTCGTTGAAACTTACATTGAAAATAACGTACTCGAAAGTTGATAATTATTTGACATATTTTGTTCAGAAAAGGATTACATTACTATTGGATTATTTTTCGAAAGCCATGTTTAGGTTCCCTTTCACAAATTTTTATTTGATAATTTGTGAACAGTTGTACACAAGGGCAGAGGTTATTTTACGACTTATACTTACATAAATAAAGCACATGTGACTCCTTTTCTAAATCATGGAAATAAATTAAACATGAAATACCGTAGATTTGTGCTAACTATAATAGTTGCATGTGGTATTACGAATGCCCTTATTCGTAATCTAGAATCAGAGTATTTATATAAAAAGCTTCTTATTTCTGAACGCAATACCCGGGACGCATGTCGTTTAATGCATACTAAACATATAGCATCCTCATTTCATGGTACCTTTCGCTACGCCGCCACGAAATGTTGGGATAATATGTGGTATATTAACTCTAGTAAAAAACTGCACAACAGTTAATACTTTAAAAATAAAATTTAAACAACACGTGCATAAGGTGCAAAAGCAAGAGGGCTAAAAGAGGTGTGTATTTTATATACAGTGTACATAGTTTATGTATTTTTCACTTGCTACTTTGGTGTGTTGAGTACAGCTATATTTTGATGTTCGTGTTGCTTTATTTTGTTCCTCATTTTAATATTTGGACCTAATAATTTTGTTCTTTTATTCTGTTAGCTGGATGTATGTTGTAGTCATACTTATAGATATAAATTTTTATTAGTAGTTATTATTTTATTGTCTTTGAATTAATGTACCAGATTTGTGTTACTATTACTATTTATTATTTTATTGTCCTTGAATTAACGTGTTTTTACGCTTGTGTTAATCTTAGTTCTAGTTTATTATTTATTATTTAATTTTTTGGTATGTACTAAAAATCGGTATATCGTACAGAGTACATACCTATTTAGTTTCAAGCATTAGCTATATTCTTTTAATTGTTAATATAACTACTATTTCAGTTACTAATTGAAGTTCATTCATCAATGTTATCAGAATTTTACTTCATGTTTAAGGTGAGGAGATAATTGTATAAAGTGAGTAATACTACTTAGTCAAGTTAGACTCGTTGAACGTCGCAGCGTCAAATAAATTCCACTCATTATGCCAATTATTGAGTATCACGTTAACTAACTAGTTTACGAAATTAACTAGTTGATAACTAGTTGACGAATATCAATCAACGTTAACGTTAAGTGGAAGAAAAACCCTTCAACGACCCATTGTTAGATGCAACTCGATTGTAGTTATCTATTTTCTTTTATACTGCATACATTATTTTATACTGCCTAAATTCTACCATAATTCCAATTAGTCAATGTAATAAATAATATGGTATTCGCCTGTAGTGTATTTTTCATGTCATTACTGCAGATATCACGTGAATCACTACAGCAATACTTTAATAGTTCTATTCACAAATTAACATCCTAATTTATTTTCAACATAATTATTTCTTACTAGTATTACTACAACTAGTGTAACATTCAGACAGAAAGACAGATATACATAAAATATGTATATAAATTATAGCCTATGTCTTATTCTAATGTAGCTATATTATTGTAAAGTTTCTTTAAAATCCATTCAGTAGTATTTGCGTGAAAGAGTAACAAACATCCATACAAACTTTCGCGTTTATAATATTAGTAAGGATATAATATAATACAGTAAGAACTAGTTTTTGCCCACGGCTCCGCCCGCATGTACTACATTTTATATCATGCTTAAAAAGGAGCCTATAGCCTTCCTCAATAAATGAGATTTACACAAAAGTGCTAGAGTTTTTCAAATCGGACTAGTAGTCCCTGAGATTAGCGAGTTCAAACAAACAAAATTTTCAATTTTATAATATTCGTATAGATATCATCTTATTTTTAACGATATACCCGCCACGCACTGGCGGAAATATCGTTAGGGGCGCATTTCAACCTGCCACCGCACCAGATGATGATTATGATTTTAGCCAAGTTGTCATTACATATGAAAGACGATATAGTTCAGATTGGAAGTGTCAAAATTGTTCATTTTTAAGGTTCCGTACCCAAAGGGTAAAACGGGACCCTATTACTAAGACTCCGCTGTCTGTCCGTCGCACTTGGTTTTTGTTATTTACTCATAAATACTTATGCACTATAGCAGTTATACTTACTCTCACTCCAGCGTCAGTTTTTTTTTTTAAGAACTATCCAGTTCTTTTTATGTTTTATATATAAGTATTATGCAAAGCCAGATGCTATGGAAAATCGATTGCTTAAAAATAATAAAGAAGCTAATAAGCAGAAGCTACTTGCTCCACCAAAATAAACAAAACAGCAATTTTTTCGAAAGGCATTTAATAATATGTTTGAACAGTTTCATTTTTTAACCTTTTATATCGATGTTTTTTTTAATGTAACAAAGTAGCAAGCGGGCTGATCATTCACATGACGTTAGTGTTAAACGCCATCTCAATAATTGTGTTACTATAATAATACTTCTAATTTACACCACGGATGCCAACTTAGGAATTGCAGTCCTAAATTTAGGTTTTAAAATTTAAGTTTTTAGGAAGTAACTTCCTAAATTTTAGGTGGGTTTTTGAATTACTTTAATTTTTTTGAACACTTGGTAACACTAATTTGCACCGGTCTTCTGTGAGACCGCGGTACTTAACCATAGGGATGAGTACGTAAAAAAATATATATGGATATTTATCGTATGACATTTTGAGAGTATCGATGAATATCGAGTGAAAAATAAGGATATCGTCTATTTTCGAATAATTCTTCATACATATTTACAAACCATTCAAAGTACTTACAAAATCTTCTGTACATATGGTATTAGGGCATAGTCCCTACCACGCAGCCACTGCGGATTGGTGGACTTCACATAACTTCGAAATATTTTTCTTTCTATTTCTAAAATGCAGGATTCAAATGTTTATTACTACCCAAAAATATATAACATAAAAATAAAAATATGGCGCTATCCCGCTGATTCAAAAATCCAAGCAACTCAGAATAAAAAAACAAACTCCAGTATTTTTTTTATTTTTTTAAAATTTTCATATACAAAAAAACGGTATATTTATAATTATATTGATTTTATATATATTGTGTTAAAATACATAGACACATGCACAAGCAATCTTAAAAACAATGAGTATTTGCATGCTAAATTGATTTTGCAGTAACTAACAGCTTTGTAGCGTAAATGGAACTACTAAGTATTATTTTTGTATACTACTATAGTTGCTTTTATATTCTCCTCTTCAAATATTTCTGGAAGATTCTGTAAAAGAAATGACACCTGTGCTATTAGTATAATCCCCAGTGAGAGCAAATTGTAAAAAATAAATAACTTTTTTCCAGTTGCGATTATAAAAATGTCACGGATACATAGAAATGGATTTTTTTAATGAAACCCAAAAACATGCAGAAATTTTATTTATTTCTACCAATTAATTCTATTGCTATACACGTACACTATATAGGTAAGCTTATACAGCGTGTCGTTACCATTGCGACAATAAATGAACACACGTCTAACGCTACGAGCCAATAATCATAAAAAAATATTAACGTAAAGCAAAATCCATAATTAAAAAAATATATTTTTCAAACAAACTTATTAAGTAAAAAAGAAACAAAATTTGTAACATCCTATACAACTCTCGCCATAGCGTCGTATTACAAGCCTCCCCTTCTAACAGTATGTTTTGTCTCTTTTAAATTCATTCAACCCATTCATATGCTTTGTGACCTTTACAAATGAACTTTACGTTACGCTTTTATAGGTAAGGGTGTTCTAAAATTCTTTGTTTTGGAAAATTTAATAAGTCTGTAAATAATGATTTTTTAATTTAAACGTTTAATACAACTTTAAAAAGTTATCCCCTATATGTGTATTCATTTATTATCGCGATGGTAACGACACGCTGTATATTTTATATTACATGGCTAACCCTAATGATTAACATATTAAATACATAAATATTTACAACAAATATGATTAGAGCATAGAACCGTGATAGCTAAGTGTCTAGGCGCTCGCCATTAATTCAATATACTCGAGCAACCTGAGTTTGATCCCCGGTGCCGGCACCAATGAAGTTTTAACTTTAAGTGCTGACTTATCACGTGCTCCGTGGTGAAGGAAAACATCGTGAGGAAACCTGCATATTTTCGAAATGATAACAAAAAATATATATATATTTCGAAGATATGTGAAGTCCGCCAATCCGCAGTGGGGCCGGGTGGTGGACTATGCCCTGATACCCTCTGTATAGAGAAGGCCTTTGCCCAGCAGTGGGATATGTATAGGCTATTACTTTACTTTTTACACTTATGATTAGAGCAATTTAATAAAAAAAAAGGTATTTCCTAATGTTAGTCATTTCATATTTGTACTCATATTTATAATTTTTCGTTGGTGGGTTGGTACTCTTGGTTAGTGACTCCACCAGTGTATGTTGTTTACTGGGACAAGGGTTTTATTAATCACTATCTTTAACTGATGTTTTAGATTTCTTCTTTCTCCTGTACTTAACCTTCCTAGGTTAATCATGTCGTTAATAAAATGGGAGCAAAGTGTAAGTGATTAAAAATAATAAACTAATGCAAACCAAAAAGTATTTAAGCGTTTATTCGGCGCGACTAACGGCCGTATTTAATATTGTTGAAGTAGATTTGGTTCCTAGCGATAGATATTTGACATTAGCTCCATAATACTTACGTCAAAATTCTATCTCAAAGATCCAAATCTACAGATAGATACTTTATTGAAAAAAATATGCAAAAAAATCTTTTATTGCCTATATGCCTAGGGACAGAAGCTTTTATGCAAGTTGATATATTTTCTGTATTCATGTCATGAATTCTGAACATTATCTGAATGTAAAAATTAGTAGTTGTGCCTGGCTGCTTCCTTTATTTTATTGTTTTATTTGCCTTACAATTTTCATAAATAGTTAGCATGTCGATTTTTACACTTCCGACACAGTTTGAAAAATATTAAGTTGTCTCCGACTCATAAGTCCATCTCTACTAATGACTTCCGGCGATAATATATTTTCATAATGACTTAAAATTAATAGAAGCGACATTTTTAAAGTGATATTAATTTGCGCGCGATCGGAAAAAATATGAGATTCAATTTTTAAGATGCGCGCGCACACCGACGGACAAAAATTGATGAATTTAATTAAATTTTTTGTCATTTAATACCTACTACTTTCGGAGTGCTTACCACACATGTGTATTGTTTATGTGTGCGTGACGTGTTTATTCGTGTGTCGGAGTGTCGCGCTCACCTTTAGCGGAGCGGACGAGCCTGCTGTGAGACATTCCGACGTCGCGCCACGTGGCGAAGTACTGCTTGAACACGGCCGGCTCGGTGCCCTGCGGTATTCTCACCACGTGCACCTGACGGGACCGAGGGCGGGTGTTTTGTTTTAATTTTGAGGTTATACTTCTTTTGGCACGTTTGGGAAAAGTGATGATTTTTACGAAGAGAGTGTACAACTTTACGTCGTTACCATGGCCACGGATAACAACTTTTTGATATTTACCTATCATTTAATTGAACCGTTATCAATTGCCTTTAATGTCTTTGTCTACTAACAAAGATGACTGGCACAGGGACAAAAATTTTTATTTATTTTTCTTTTATTACGCTAAAAAAGTACTTCTTACATGAGTACATAAGTACTTTTACACACACGGACATCTTACGGATTACCAACATGACAACAAGGAAACATAGAGTTAAAGGTACCCACGACATGTCAGTCCCCGAGGGAATTAATTGCAAGTTCAAGTGGAAACATACATTCAATGTGCTAAACGCTGAGGAAACACTGTACATTAAAAATAATAATAAATAATCCAAGTTATGCCGGTTCACAATGGGACCTCGGAGATGATTATATCTTTGACCTGCAGTGGGGCATACGTTACGGCCATTGCTTACCCAGGACGGATAGTTCTTTGACCTCAGCAGCTGTTCCGCCTTGGACATGACTTCGGTCTTCTCCTGCGAACAAAACCACGTTTATCAGATGATTAGATATAGTGCAATCTACAAATTTTCCTTGCATGTATCGATATTTTTTTAGCCAATACATTTGGATCCGGTATATCGATATATCGATATTTTCTCTTCGATATATCGAGACCGCTATTGATATTTTTATAATTTTACATCACTAAAACCAACTGGTGTTGTGCACGACCAATAAATTTAACAAGAAAGCATTGACAACGTTCATTAAAATATATGATTTCAAGATTAGTGAACGGCTACATAATAAAATAATAACAAAGCTTTTCTCATATTAAAAAGTGTCGCATTGAATACGACAGAAAGACACCTTTATCATTCTTGTTACATGCATTCAATTCTGTTTTTAATTGTTCCGTAGGTGTCTTGCTTTTTAAGTTAGATCGTCCCAGATCCGTAGTATCGATCTCAGACCCGTGAACGGATTGTATAAATTTGTATACACGGGAATGGGTACGCTTTTTAATGATAGTTTAATATAATTGACGACCCATCTGGCGTAGTGGAAAGTGTCCCTGCCTCTTGCGCCAGAGGGTGTGGGTATGTTCCCTAATACTGGAAAAACATTGTGCGATAAACATAGTGTTTCTCCAGTGTCTGGGTGTTTATACAGCGTGTCCTTACAACCGCGACAATAAATGAACACACATAGAGAGGATAACTTTTTAAAATTGTGTTAAACATTTACATTCTTTAAACATCAAATATTCACAGAGTTATTAAATTTTCCAAAATGAACAATTTTAGAACACTCTTACATATAAAACAGTAACGTAAAGTTCATTTGTAAAGATCACAAAGCATATGAATGGGTCGAATGAATTTAACAGATATAAAACATACTGTTAGAAGGAGAGACTTGTAACGCGACGCTGTGGCAACGAATGAAAAAGTCTCTGAATGTAAGAATCAGTCAGTTGTAGTTGTATAGGATGTTACAAATTTTCTTTCTTTATTATTTAATTAATTTGTTTGAAAATTACTTCTTTAATTATTGTTTTTTTTTTTTAATTTGCATTTTTATGATTATTGGCAAGTAGCGTTAGACGTGTGTTCATTTATTGTCGCGATTGTAACGATACGCTGTATATTTACAAAAAAAAATACATTTAAGTATGTTTATCAGTTACCCAGTCTCTATAGGACAAGCTTTGCTTAGATTGGGACTATATAACGTGCAATATTCATTATCATTATTTTTTTTAATTATCAAATGGAAAAAATGGAATTCTCCATAGCTTAAGACAAATAAATACAGGGTAACTCACCCTTTTCGAAGCCTGCTTGCCGATCCAGACGTATATGCTGCCGCTTACTGTGTCCAATATGTAGGCTTCCTACAAGATAGAAGAATTGTACATTATTTATTTCATTTATTATTACTTTTAAGTTGATTGTGGTACTGCGGTAGGGCCATGCAAGAATATTCGTATTTTGTACACAAATGGGCGGGTCCAACCGGGGAAGTACCACGACCTACGATGTGTTACACTGATGCGTTTCATTATTTATTAAAGCCATTTATTAAAAGGTGGCAACCCTAATGGTGTTGTAAATGTCCATGGGCAGCGGTTATCACTTAGCTTCAGGTGAATCGTCTTCCTTCCGTGAAGATTGTCACGTGGCCTTACTATTAAAATCATGATTCAGGTTTTTTTTATGTGAATTATTTTGAAAAAAAAAATAACCGACTTCAAACAGGAAACTAAAAGCATTGTCAACACTTATAACATTTGAGGATTGGCCTCGATTTCCCTGGGATGCCATCATCAGATCTGGGTTTCCTTATCACGGTCCCACCCTTGGGATATGTCCTTTACAGCAACAAAAGAATCATCAAAATCGATTCTTAAATGACGAAGTTATCCCCGAACACACCTAATAAAAAAAAATATATACGGTGGAATTGAGAAACCTCCTTCTTTTTTGAAGTCGGTTAATAAGTGGCATACGAGCTGGCGGTCCACCAGATGTTAAGTAATAACCGCCGCCCATGGATATTTGCAACAATCGTAGGGTTGCAAATGCGTTGCCACCTTTGAATAAGGTGCGCCCCGGCTACCTCACTCACCAGACGAAACGCAGAAGTGTACGGACACGCGGAACACACTTCCACTTCACGCTGGTTTTCCGTGAGGTCGTGGTAATTACCCGGACGAGTCTGCCCATTCGTGCAACAGTGAAACACTGTTGCGTGGCTCTACCACGGTTTAGTATCGTCCAATCACCTATATGATGGTGCACTCACTTGAGGCTTCAGCTGTTCCTGTTTGAAGGGCTTCTTCAGCGGCGTGGCCACCAGAGATCCACTGCTGTCTGAGACCTCCGACAGCGATACGCTGTCCTCTTCACTCCTCTCGAAGGCCTGGCATAGACAAGGAGACCAATACTTATTATTCACATAATAATCGCAACTAAACCTCACGGGCTGTGTACGGCGTTTCGCTGCTAAAGAGTTCGCAACGAAGACATCCGCAGTAGAACAAAGGTAACCGACATAGCTCAGAGGATTAGCAAGCTGAAGTGGCGATGGGCCGGCCATATAGCTCGTAGAAGCGACAACTGTTCGGGAAGAATGGTTCTCGAGTGGCAGACTCGTACTGGCCATTGAAGTGTAGGACCCCCCCACTAGATGGAGTGACGACATGTGCAAGTGTACGGGAAGTAGATGGATGCAGGTCGTTCAGGATCATACTTCGTGGCAATCTATGGGAAGGCCTATGTCCAGCAGTGGACTCAAACAGGCTGAAACGATGATGATGAAGAAACCTCACGATAATCCAGTATGTTTGTTTTAACGTGTTTAAACATGTGCATCAACTTGTTATAAATACGAATTTTGTTAGTACTAAATTTTTTGTTAATATAATAAAAAAAAAACAAAATACCTTTTCAATATTGAAATAATTGTGACGAAGCAAGTAAACGCATTTCTCACATGTACACTTACCGTTCAGATAGACTTTGTTACTACTTACGTCAAAATTCTATCTCCAGTAACTAACTCTATCCGTCGATAGAATATTGAAACCGGCCGTTAATACACCACAATAACTACGGGACCCCACCTGATCATCGCCACCGGCGCTCGCCTCTGGCACCAGGTCCTTCGATCCCGAGCCCAGCGCTGTGAAGAACTTCTGCACGTCCGTCTCGCTGGAGTACTGGTCTGCAAGGGTCGCGATCGGAACGGTCTCGCAAAGGCTGACACTTGAGTTACGCTTTTTTATGTCAGGAAGTGTCAAACGTGCTGGCAGTTCACCTGATGTTAAGTGATAACAACCTGCCCATGGACATTTGCAGATGCGTCGCCACCTCTTCATAATGTGGGCCCCGGCTACCTCACCCACCAGACGAAACGCAGAAGTGCAACACTTCTACACACAATTGTAATCAAAGTCAAGGTCCGTCCGGGTAAGTACCACGACCTCACAGAAGACCGGGGTAAATTGGAAGTATAATACTTTCGCGTTTCGTCTGGTGATCGAGGTAGCCGGAGCCCAATTTCCAAAAGGTTGTCAACGCATCTGGAACCGTCGGGTGTAGCTGATGTCCATGGGCGGCGGTATTCACTTACCATCAGGTGAACCGTCTGCTCGCTTGGCAACATTTCACATAAAAAAAAGTCGATCGAAAAGACGGTCTGTGCTCTCACCGACTATCTCCACTCGGCCCCTGCCGTTGTGGTCCTGATCGCGGACCTGGTTCGCCACCGAGATCGCCTTCAGCTTCTCAGTGTTGCGCGCGCCGTCGCCGACGTACACCATCACGTCGTTGTTCACGTCCAGAATGAAGCAGTCGCCTTTGTTGAGCGACGAGATGATTGGGTCCACCTGGTAAGGGGGCTTGGTGAGTTCAGTACCCTACGAAGGTACCCACCTAATGTTTGGGCCTGGTGAAGTACCGACAACCTAATAAGGGGGCTTGGGAAGGTAAGAAGTACCTTACTGACGAAGGTGTCCACTCCAATGTTGCCTGATGAAATACCAATAAGTACCTTAATGATAGAGGTAACGGTACGATCTTTCCGAACCGTTACGACCTTTTATACGACCTACGACATGGTTATGTGGGGTTCTTACCCACTAAAAACCTCTCGTTAGCCACCTTCTATACGTTTGGAGGGACTCCGGGATCTCCTAAGGAACGCACCGGTGTCCCTCGGTACTGCGCGTGAGCACGCTTCGGAGAAGGGTAAACCTTCCCAGATACCCTTGCCATCTTGCAGCAGCACGAGACCACTTCGTGCTGCTGCCAATCCGGGTACATGGATTGGCAGCAGCCTTTTAGACGCCTTTAAGACGCCTTTTTACAACAGGCAGGGGATACCTTAGCCCTATTCTAAGGCCACGAAACTACGGGGCTGGAACTGTTACGTCCTGGGAACCTTCAAGAAGAGAATATATTGTTACGTGTTTGGGGTTCGAAGGATTTGGAGAGAAAGACCTGCTGACTCTTTTGAAGACTTTATTTACTAGCGCTAGGTCCAACACAAAGCACTAGGTCCAATCACTAAGCACTAACAATGTCCTAGATTGTAGCCAAGTCGTAGGTTTCACTGGTATCGCTCTTGATCACTAGTTTTCACTCCGAAGTCGCCTCGAAGGTAGCTCAAACTGAACTGTCATCGCTCGCCTCCCTGCGGCTTTTTATATGGGCCGAGACCGGTTCCGGACTAATCCAGAAAGATCATTCCTGGAACGTACCCGACACGCACGAACATGTTCGTGATTCCGGAAAGTTCGCGAATGTACCCGGTTTTCGAGACTATAGTTCCACAGCAGTTCCTCTAACGCCATCTAGTGTTGAATAGGGGGTTTTATGTCGTTTTTGGTCTTTAGTGGTTTTAATAGTTGACGCTAGATGGCGTTCGTTCCTTTGTGTGTTCATAACAATATTATTTCCTGAAAGCCGGTAACGCATTTTCAAGCCCTCCGGTGTTGCAGATGTTTTTGGTCGGCTGTGATCACTTCCTATCAGGTGAGCCTCCTTCCCGTTTGCAGCCTTTTTCCATAAACGTAAATTTTTAGCTCTGTGAGATCGCTTTGCGCTCAGATTGCACTTGTAAAGGCATCATTAATAAAAGCGTCGTTGATAAAGACGCGATGAAGCAGTCATTATTAAAGGCAACATTGAACTAGACACCAATGACGAAGGGAAACACTGATATAGGTAACAATTCTGCAACACGGTTAAAGGCAACTCAAGGCAATTGGTACTGTATAAATTAGTAACACGTAGTTATTTAGTCCTCTATCCTTTCTCATTGATTGATTTCCCTTATATACAGCATGGCGTTACAACCGCGACTATAAATGAACACACTTATAACGCTACTTGCCAATAATCATAAAAAAATATTAACGTTAAAAAAATCCATAATTAAAATAAAAATATTTTCAAACAAATTAATTCAATAAAAAAGAAACAAAATTTGTAACATCCTATACAACTATAACTGACTGATTCATGCATTAAGAGACTTCAATTGTTGCCACAACTTCGCATTACAAGTCTCTCCTTCTAACAGCATGTTTTATCTTTTAAATTCATTCAGCCTATTCATATGCTTTCTGACCTTTACAAATTAACTTTACGTTACAGTTTTATACGTAAGGGTGTTCTAAAATTGTTTGTTTTGGAAAATTTAATAACTGAGTAAAAGCAGACGTTTAAAGAAAGTAAATGTTTAATACTGTTATGAACACACAAAGGAACTAACGCCATCTAGCGTCAACTATTAAAATCACTAAAGAACAAAGACGACATAAAACCCCCCCTATTCAATACTAGATGGCGTTAGAGGAACTGCCGTGGAACTATAGTCTCGAAAACCGGGTACATTCGCGAACTTTCCGGAATCACGAACATGTTCGGGCGTGTCGGGTACGTTCCAGGAAGGATCTTTCTGGATTAGTCTGGAACCGGTCTCGGCCCATATAAAAAGCCGCGGGGAGGCGAGCGAAGACAGTTCAGTTTGAGCTACCTTCGAGGCGACTTCGGAGCGAAAACTAGTGACCGGGAGCGATACCAGTGAAACCTACGACTTGGCTACAAAATAGGACATCGTTAGTGCTTAGTGTTTGGACCTAGTGCTTTGTGTTGGACCTAGTGCTTGAATAAAGTCTTCAAAAGAGTCAGCAGGTCTTTCTCTCCAAATCCTTCGAACCCCTAACACGTAACAATACAATTCTGCATATTCATCGAGGCATTGTGTTAATCAGATAAGCTGGTGCGTGCAGTACAGACCTGTCTGATGCGGATGTTCTTCTTGCCTTTGACCTGGAGCAGCCTCTTCTCCGCGCCTGGGTTGGTGACCACATGGTTGAAGCCCGACGCGGCACCACCGTCCACATATCTGATGGCTGCGCGGAGACAACAGTGAGTGAGAGTTCAGAATCGAGAGATCGCATTGCGATCAAATCTAATCCTTACTTCCTTACTAATACTATAAAGGCGAAAGTTTGTATGTATGGATGGATGTTTGTTACTCTTTCACGCAAATAATACTGAATGGATTTTAATGAAACTTTGCAATAATATAGCCTATACATCAGAATAAGACATAGGCTATAATTTATACACATACTTTATGTATATCTGTTTTTCTGTCGTGGGCAGCAGATAGTTTATTATAATGTGTGATGGGCAAGGATCAATCCAGGTGACGGTTATCACTTAACAACACGTGTACCGCTAGCTTGCTTTCTTAAATAAAAAAGCCTTCTTTCTTCTTTATTATTTTTTTTGAACGTTGCCCTCACATTACCCGGTGTGGTAAGAAAGTTTCACAAACACAAATTTCACTAGGACAAATGCCCAGCTGCGAAGCAATTATCTGTGGGGCACACAACAGTTGCCCCCTGTAGGAATCGAACCCACGACCCCCGACGCCTAAGCCCTTGGCGATTGCGCCACAGTGTGCTCTTCAGACTTCGTGAATGGTTACATTTGTTTCTTGTCTGTGGGTACATTGCTTGGCAGTGGACATGCTGAAATGATGAACAGTATGTATGACAGCTTTAGCCACCTGAGCACGGACAAGAAACAAACGGCAATGGACCAATGGCTTAGCGGTGGATTTGAACGGGCTGAAATGATGAACTGATGATGAATAGTGTGGACTTTAGCCACTGTAATGATGAACGGTAAGTATCACAGATTTAGCCACCTGGGCGGAACAACGAGAGGAACTGCTGGCTCTCCCTGCCCAGGGTCTCGCGGTGCTGGACAGCGGCGCCGCCGAACTTGTCGTCCAGGCCCACTGTGAGGATCGCGGCTGCCCCGGACTCGTCCTGGGTGGACTCGCTGCCGATCCAGTAGTAGATGTCCCAGGATAGGTTCTTCTTCTTGTCGGCGGTCGTCTGCAATGTGGACACGTCGCGGGCGCAACGCAGTGAGCAATACTCACACACGCACACGCACACGCACACGCACACGTACACGCACACGCACACGCACACGCACACGCACACTACACGCACACGCACACGCGCACGCGCACGCACACGCGCACGCGCACGCGCCACGCACACGCACACGCACACGCACACGCACACGCACTCTCGCACACGCACACGCACACGCACACGCACACGCGCACGCGCACGCGCACGCGCACGCGCACGCGCACGCACACGCACACGCACACGCACACGCACACGCACACGCACACGCACACGCACACGCACACGCACACACACACACACTAAGAAACACAAAAAAACAAACCATTATGACCACACACTTCACTTCAGTGCCTTATATGAGTACGAATACTTGACATGAAACTGAGTCTCAGTCCTAAACTAAAATGACCTACTAAGGGGATCATTTCATGATCTGAACCGTTCAGATCATATTTAATTTTCAATATTTTGCTTGTAATTTTTGTAACCTAAAACTTTATAATTTGAATAAAAGATTAAATTATATATACACATCCCACTGCTGGGCAAAGGCCTCCTCTGTACAGAGGAAGTCTGTTTGTCTGCCTGCCTGTCTGTATGTCTGTCTGTCGGTCAAATTGACACCAGGCTGTGTCTCGTGAACCGTGACAATTTTCACACATGATGTAGTTCTGTTGCCGCTATAACAACAAATACTAAAAAATAATGAATTTGTTGCCGTTTTTACAGATAATGGCTCGGAACCCTTCTTGCGCGAATCCGTCTAGCACATTTTAAGCAATGCCTGGCGCCATCTAGTGTTCATAAAGTTAACTTGGTCACTATTAAAATATCCGTTAAATGGCTTTTGTCCACTTATCGTTCCCTTCTGTTTATATTGTATATATAAATATATATGTATTTATTGTATATATAAATATATATGTATTTGTTGTATATATAAATATATATGGAAGAAATCGCTTCTAAGCGATAAGGCCGCCAATTGTGCCTTTATGTAGTTGTTTGTTACTTTTGTAATTTTGTCTGGTGTACAATAAAGCGTATTTCATTTCATTTCATTATTAAATATCCACTTTAGATTACAATTCACACTTGTAGACGATGAACATTTCAAGGACAGTGATGAGTAAATGCTTACCTTAAGCACGATGTAGGAATCGCCTTTGTTGAATTTGCCGACGTCCGACTGCGCCACGGCCACCGGATTAAAGTTCTGCGTTGAAAAAAGCCAAGCTAGAATATTCTATTGTTTTAAAAGGGCTCCATAAATTGTAAAATTTTGTTACAGCTTAGGTAGGTTAGGTTATATAGGTTAGGTTTGCTTTTTATTTTGTTAATTTTTTTTATAAAACATTGCCCTTACTGTAGGATATCATTATACTGTGTTGTGAGGAGGTTTTAGACTCACAAATTTCACTTGGACAGAAACTCAGATCCAAAACAATTATTTGTGGTTCACACAAATAATTGTACCGTGCGGGAATCGAATCTACGACCAACGGCACCGAAGACAATACCTTGGCAACCACGCCACGGAGTCATCACGGTTTTAAATGCTTGAATATAATCCACTCGATTGGTAGTAGAAAGTGAGCCGGTCTCTTGCGCCAAAGGGTGAGGGTTCGATCCCTACTACAGGCAAAATATTGTGTGATGAACATCATAACATCATGTTCACCACACAATATTTCGTCTGTGGTGTTTGGTGGTTTTATTACTGTCTGATAGTTTACATACCTCTCATAATTTCATTGTGTTAGAACCCACTGCTGAACAACCTCCCCTACGGATCATCATAGGGGGTATTTTAATGTATACATACATACATACATACACGTATTAAAAAGGACCCATATAACACGCGCATGTTTACATGCATGTAGACGTGTGCGTTTAGGGACCAGAGTCTGAAGTCTATTGTCAGCTTTTAGTAATATAATTATTCTGTGGATGTGTATGTCACTGAACTCCTAAAAGGCTGGACAGGATTTAATCACTTTTTTGTGTGTCTTCAGTTTAATACGAGAATGGTTTAGTAGTAGTTTCACATTTTTTATTTTGTTTTTATCTATAAGTTGTTCTAGGATTTAAGACGTCTGTCCGGTCCGTAGTAGCTTTGTATACATTTGGAGGTAAGCGATGTAAGTCTCTTGTTGGGCGCAACAAGAGCTGACAGATGGGGTGAGCAGAGGTTGTTGGGCTTACCACAATTCGCCACACCTCGACGCCCGCCTGTTTCCCGGCGTTGGCAAAAGCTGAATGAACACTCGCCTTGCTTCTTGCATCCTGGAATTGAGAACAGCGTGAAGGGGCTGGTCATTTACCAAAAAGGAAGGAACAAGACCTTCGGCAGTATCTAAGATTTAGGGTATTTTTATATGAAAAGTTGTGTAGTGAGCGGGAGCATCACCTGATATTAAATGATTACCGCCGCCCACAGATAAATGCGTTGTAATGCAAAGTAACAGTCCATACAAACAGCCTATAAAAATACAACAAAATTACCGGTGCAGCAAAAGACGTCAGACAAAAATAACAGACTATAGGCAATACTGTTTAAATAAGATTGTTTTTAATGTACATAACTACTAACACTAGTCTGAAATGAACTTTATTTTTTCTAATTCTGATTTTTCTTCTCTCCATTTAACGACAACTCTCTATAACAACATAAAATGCACAGTCCCTCTAGTGACGTTACATGGAGTTTTCACTGTATTTGGTTAAAAAAAATCCTATTTCATTGTCAAATAATGGTATAAAAAAAGCCCTCCGAGTTTCTATCGTCGCTTTTTCTCATGTCAGTGGCTTTCTTTTCCGAACCGGCATTTTGGTATTTGGAACTGGTATTTTGAGTCAATAAGTGATAGTTACGCTTCTAAATTGTAAAGTTACGCTTCTAAATTGTAAAGTTCAACGGTGGTAGAGCCACGCAGCAGCCTCGGCTGTTGCACGAATGAGCAGGCTCGTCCGGGTAAGTACCACGACCTCACAGAAGACCGGCGTAAATTGGAAGTATGAGAAATACTTTCGCGTTTCGTCTGGTGAGTGAGGTAGCCGGAGCCCAATTTCCAAAAAGGTTGTCAACGCATCTGCAAACCCTGGGGTAAAGCAGATGTTCATGGGCGGCGGTATTCACTTATCATCAGGTGAACCGTCAGCTCGTTTGGTAACTTTTCACATTAAAAAAAAGCAAAGTAAAGTAACAGCCTGCACATGTCCCACTGCTGGGCACCCACCACTCTTATATCTTTAGAACGAGCACAGAGAGCAGTTTTAAAAGTGACCTTGAAAAAACCTGTCAGATAGAGGCAAATGTTCTTAGTGTCAGGAGGCTGTATTTGTTACGAGTTTCAGTATTAGTACATAAATCTGTTCTTAATTTCGCCAATTACTTCGGCTTACTGCAAAAAAAGAACATTCAGAATCCCTACCCCGACAACCAGGACAACATTTGCTAAGCGTTTTGGTGTATATCTTTTCCCTTTTATTTATAATAAATTAGTCAACTTCTAATAAATTAGGCAATGTAAAGTATTTAATTTTCAAATCTTCATTAACGAAGATTCTTTTAAAATGGTCATACAATGAATCTGAAAGCGTAATGTCGACAGCGTACTGAAATTGGTTCATCTTCAAACACACACACACACACGCACGCACGCAAATATTTATTAACAGCCCGCAAATCAAACTGTAGATCGTAACATTTATCCCCCATAGGACAGGCAACAGCCTAGTATGGGGGTCAGTTCATAAGGCACAAATGTAGAATATTTTTTTGGAAATAAAGTAATTTGTATTTGTATTTGTATAAGTCCTCCTCCGAGGAGTCCAACCACGCGGCCCCATTGCGGATTGGCGGACTTCATACATCTTACGTTTTTCTTCACCGCTGAGCACGTGATAAGTCAGCACTTGAAATTGACAATTCCATTGGCGTCGGCACCGGGCATCGAGCTCAGGTTGCTAGAGTGTACTGAATTGAAAGCGAGCGCCCCGACAGTAAGCTATCGCGGCCCTAACTTGTGTTGACTAATTTTAAAATAAGCTGGACCGAAAGCTGGGCGAAAACAGCCGAAGCTACTGACTGGCCCTACCCAGTAGGTTCATGTGTAGTTTCAATTTCAATGGTAACTTTGTAGGTCCCTACAAGTTCGTATTTTTATGCACTGAACTTTTGTACGATAAAGGACATATATTATCTACTAGCGACTCGCCCCGGCTTCGCACTGTGCAATATATTACACATGAACCGCCCTCTTGAATCACTCTATCTAGAAAAAAAACCACATCAAGATCCGTTGCGTAGTTTTAAGGATCTAGACATACATAGGGACAGACAGACAGCGGGACAACTTTGTTTTATACTATGTACTGATGGATACTTTAAACCGTTCGACGCTTCTATTTCTCTTACTCGTCTTCTTTTGTTATGTATCCCTTCGTCTGATAAGTGAGGTGATCGGGGCCCACTGCTTTTGAGGGCTGTAGATGTTCATGGGCGGCGGTCGGTTAACATTCGGTTAACGTCAGGTTGCTGCTCACTAGACAACTTTTCACATTAAAAAAAATTCTACCTCACCTGATGGAGAACCGTGCCCGAATAGCTAAGTGCCCACGCTCTCACTTTTAATTCAATATGCTCGAGCAGCCGGTGTTCAAATCTCGGTGCCGGCACCAATGGAATTGTTAATCTAAAGTGATGACTTCACTACATAGTATAAAACAAAGTCGTCCCGCTGTCTGCCTGTCCCTATCTATGCTTACATCTTTAAACTACGCAACGGAACTTGATGCGGTTTTTTTTACTAGATATAGTGATTCAAGAAGGAGGTTTATATGTATAATACATTGCACCCATGCGAAGCCGGGGTGGGTCGCTAGTACTATATATACAGCGAAGGAAAACCTTACAAAACAAACCATTTCGAAATCATAACCAAAAACAAATATTTCGAAGATATATAAAGTCTGCCAATCCGATGTGGGGTCGAGTAGAGGACTATGCCCTAATAGCCTCTGTATAGAGGAGGCCTTTGGGACATATATGTGTTGTTACTTTACTTGTTTTTGGTTAACCTAATGTTAAATACATGTAAACTTAGATGGTAAACCGTGACATCCTACTCACTCGCCTCGAAAGCACTCTCACTTTAATGGGACGTGCAAGCTATTCCACTGTTTTGCTGTACGCAAAGTGTATATACTATTGCCTTCTGTTATAGCAGTCAATGGCTAAAGGTTGGAAACGTCGCGTACGTGTCCACGTTTGCTCGTCTCCTAGCCTTAGGTCCAAGAAACAGTTCAAGCACCTCACAGCTGTCACTATCAACCATACAAAAGCTTCTGTTCCGTTGCACAGTCTTGAATGGTAGATGTGGCTAATGGGATCACTTTCAAGCCAAAAAGACACTTAAGGACTGATAAGAAAACTATTTATTTGAACTTAAACATTTTGAACTTATTTTGGACCAAACGTAATGATTATGAAATTTATATAAAATACAGGAGTTATGTCAAATCTGATCAGCTAGACATGTTACTTCTCCAAATGATTTTTACGGAATAAATCAATTATGACACAATTCAGTCTGAACAAATAAAACAAAACATTCCAAATTTCAAGTAATTCAAACATAATACATAAATCAAACAGGTCAGAGTTGACATCAAAAGAGTATGTATAATCTGAGATTACCAATCAACACACAGAAGTACCACGCCACATAGAAGAGCAGCGTGAAGAAGTTTCCCGGTCTTCTACGGTTCCAATCGGACCCAGCGCCAAGAGAATGAATCTACCTTTATCGTATCGAATCTAACATACCAGCGCCAAGTCTTTACCTTATGTACGAACGATCGACCATTACCTTACCGTATGGCTATACCGCATTCTACCATCGGAATAACTGTTCACGTGTATACTATTTAAAATTTTGACAACGCCATAAATAGTGATCGTTGAGAAACTTCAAAACATGACGTTTCGCGTAGTTCGAAACAGCTGAATGTATTTTCGCCACAGCCTAGTAGATATTCTGTAAATAATATATAACCTGCGGCGAAAAAACAGATAGAAAATGGATTAAAACAGAAGGTTGTCGGCGTTTATCATCAGCTTGGGATCTAAAATTTTTAATTTTTAATCAACACCACTCCAAGACTGCTCTTTTTCAGTCATTGGGACTGCAGACAAAAATGAAAACTAACTAACTATTTAAACTGGACTAACTGGGTTTTATTTAATTTTTAAATGAAACATTTTGAATAATTACAATCACAAAACACTAATATAAATGGAATAATTAAATTTATGAGAATTTAAACCAATAAACCATGACTTTAAGTAACCAATTAAAAAAAAAACGTTTGAATTTTAACTTTAAGCACAACAAATATATTTCAATGAACTATTATACGACTGAAAATTTATTTTACACAGTTAAAATATTAGTTACGTCTCCAACATCGATGAAAAATCTAGTGACATTAGTACCTATGTCGGTGATGAGAATCTATAATTTTTCCCGTCCAAAATTTAAGAATAAAGTTTTCTCTTCAAAGAATTAAATGTTACATTAGCCGTCGGACTGAAAATCATGAACGCCGTAAAGTGTTTAAAATGTAAATTTAGATACAAATTAAAGTATAATAAAGTAATAAAAAGGTAAAGTAAACAGCCTGTACGGATCCCATTGTTCAACAAAGGCCTCCTCTGCACCTGTATTACCCCCTGTATTAGGCAATACAGATGACGCGAAATTGTTCTGCTTCACTACATCACTACATAGTATAAAAAAAAAGTCGACCCTGTCTGTCTGTCCATATGTATGCTCAGATCTTTAAAACTACGCAACAGGTCTTGATGCGGTTTTTTTTATTAGATAGAGTGATGCAAGAGGAAGGTTTATATGTATAACTAGCGACCCGACTAGTAGTTTCAATAATATTACACCCGTGCGTATTGTTATTGAATTAAATGCAAGCTCCCGGACACTGAGCTATCGCGTACTTATATAAAACTATACAGTTACGTTACGTTATTAAAACTATACGTTATCTGTGGGTCACACAAAAACTTGTCCCGTGTGGGCTTCGAACCCACACGCCTCGCCGCCGAAGCCGATAGGTCAGTAACGGCCGAGTCACATCTTTCTTTAATGATATACCTAAGAATACAAAAATGTGTTAGGTATAAAATCAGCAACAGCCAGAAGATTTACAAGCGCAGGATGAGAGCTTTTTTACACCTTTACATTTACAGTTTTGTTTACATTTACAGTTTTTTTACAGTTAAGGTTCAGTTTAAAGCTACCGTACCTCAGAGGTGAACAGCATTATGTGAAAAACATAAATTCTACAGGAGAGGCAAAAATGCGTGAGTTAATCCTTGAATCCATATTATTATAGATTAAGATGTCATATAAAATTGGATCTTTCATTAATTAGGCGTCTTAGGACTTAATGATTTACACTATTGGGTAAAAAAAAACGGGTTGCACTCCGGGAGTGCCGTCAGAAGCTGAAAACTTATTTTGGCGAGTTAGACATTTTTAAGATAAATCTTCTTATATATAAAAATGGATTGCTGTTCGTTAGTCTCGCTAAAACTCGAGAACGGCTGGACCGATTTGGCTAATTTTGGATTTGATATATTCGTGACAGTCCAGGGAAGGTTTAAACGATGAGAAATTATGGAAAAATTTCATGGAAAATTGAAATAGCAACAACTTTATTTTCCCAAACAAACTGTACCTGTCAACCTGGCAAACGATTTTGAACACGTTCCGATTCCTCTAGAAATAATTTATATGGCAAAACAACGTTTGCCGAGTCAGCTAGTAAATAAACATTTTTGATTCGAAGCTATTTAAATATCTCGTGAATACGGCATCAATTGTACTTTTATACCTCGACGTGCTAATATTGCGGGGATTGGACATGGTAAAATCAAATTCTCTATTCAAAAATTCAATTAAGCAAACACTATAGCCGCTTCTCGTACCGGTGTCGCGAGTCCAGGGATTTTATTACCTCATCTAAAAATCTCTACCGCGCTACAAGAAATTTTCTCTCCAATAATTCAATAATGTGGTGTTGCTATTGTACGCCTTGAGGTAGTGGTTCGGCTTACCTTGTCCGTTAGCGAGGTGATTTGCGCTGTGACAGCTTGCTGCCTTTGAGCGGTGCGTGCACCAGCCAATGCAAACAGACCCAGAAGGGCCCACACGCACGCAACTCGCATTCTGATGAAAAAATTCAAAATCAAACTTCTTCTTAAACTCTTTGAATAAATAAATAAATTTAGGACACATTTTTACACAACGTTCTCTAGTCCCAAACTAAGCAACGTTGTACTATGGGTACTCGATAACTGATAAAAATACTTAAACATACTATTTTTTTTTGTAAATAAATATCTATTATACATATATAAACACCCAGACACTAGAAAAACACTATGTTCATCGCACAACATTTTTCCAGTAGTGGGATCGAACCCACACCCTGTGGCGCAGGAGGCAGGTACACTACCCACTACGCCGTTCGGGTCGTCGAATCATTGTGATCTTTAAGAATATATTCTGATCAATTCGGAGTTTAACAATCCTTTTGCCAACTCAAATAGCATTTGAAAAGCCATTTGACAGCTGATTAGACTTCGGCGATGATCAGTGTTTCAGAAACCGGGCGTAAATCTCTTCTAAAGCTGGAGATTTGTCAAAACTCGGTTTTGACAATCTTCACCGAGCATTAAAGTGACTCCGTGGCGCAGTCGTCAAGGTATTGGCTTCGGCGTCGGGGGTCATGGGTTCGATTCCTACACGGGACAACTATTTGTGTGACCCACACATAGTTGTTTCGCATCTGGGTGTTTGTCCACGTGAAATTTATGTATGCAAAACGTCCTTGCAACACAGGATAATGTTATCCTAAAGTGAAGGAAATGTTTTTTTAATAAAAAAAAAAAGTTCCACTGCTGGACAAAGGCTTCTACAGAGGGTATAGGGCCTAGTCCACCACGCGACCCCACTGTGTAAATTGCAATGCAGATTTATTTTAATCTTATTTGGTACATAGAACAGCAAACAGTACAATAAACTTAACAATAATCTTAATAATGGCAACTTATACACACTGTCCGCCAAAAATATATGTACACTACATGCTTCGGTATAATTAAAGAATATTAAGTTTTTACGATATTTTACGAAATGTTAGATGTGTTAAATTGCTTAATATTTTAACAATATTAAGTAATTTAACATACCTTCGGAATATTTTTTTTACTATTTCGAATATAAGCAGGTTTCCTCACCATGTTTCCCTTCACCGCCGAGCACGTGATAAGTCAGCACTTAAAATTGACAATTTCATAGGTGCCGGCACCGGGTTTTGAACTGTAGACTGCTCGAGTATAACGAATTAAAAGCGAGCGTCCCGAGTCTGAGCTATCACGGCTTAGGCCATTTGTGTTACATAGCTTTATTTTAAAATACATTTTCATGACACCCTTAGGGTTCCGTAACCCAAGGGGTGAAAATGGACCCTATTACTGAGACTCCGCTGTCTGTCTGCCTGTCCGTCTTTCACCAGGCTGTATCTCATGAACCGTGATAGCTGGACAGTTGAAATTTTCACAGATAATATATTTCTGTTGCCGCTATAACACAAAATGCTAAAAAACAGGAATAAAAAAACACATTTAAGTGGGGTTCCCATACAACAGACATGATTTTTTGACCGTTTTTATTGATATTGGCACGCAAAACTTGTGCAAACTCGTGCGCGAGTGCAACTCACACTTGGCCGGTTTTAATTTCTTTTCGCGTGATACCTTTGCCGATAAACACGACATAGTGATGTGAAATTTTTGAATCCGATACACCTCGTATTGAGATGGACTAGGAATCTAGTCGTTTATCCTAAAACCTCTTTGGGCGGATGTCGCCTTGAAATAGGAACTGAACCTTGCACCCGCCAGTGAGGTAGGCTTCGACCTCTAAGTCAGACCCGATTAATCCGGCTATAAACGGAACGCCTTATATAACAAGGTTGTGAGAATTCCGACTGGTTTTTCCCTCCACAGTTAGACAAAGAGGCGTTGTTTCTTTGTTCGTACAAATTTAATGTCCATATTGTCACAAGAATTGCTTAGTATTCTTGTCTGTCTGTACGAAAGTTTCTCTGGAACAGGCTCAAAATCTTAGCTGATTGCAATAAAGGTTAATGTGAATAATTTTAACGTTCGCGTATACAATTGAAATTAATTTTAAACGATAGAAAAGAATTACTAATGAATTAATCAACAAGCAGAATTCGCCGATCGTTTAGTTTTCGAAAAAATAAATAATGAAATAGTGTGATTTTCACTATAGAAATCCGCCATTTTTTTTGTTATCAATATTTCAATTCTGCTCCTATTTCTTTGTGGTCATAAAAAATAACCACGAAGGTTAAGAACTAAACCTTATAACATAATCCATCCGAGTCGGATTGCTCTTTGTCGGTTCTGACTCATTCAATTTAAAAAAAAAAAAAACGAACTATCGATACGAGTATGACGTCGCCCGCTTCCTATATTTATCATGTTGGCAGAACTGTGTATTGATTTTTTTGAAGTTAAATTAATAAAATGGCGGACTTTCTTAGTGAAAATAACAAGTTTTAAATATTTTTTCTCGAAAACTAAAAGCTACTGGAGAATTCTGCTTGTGGATTAATTTATTAAATGATTTTTCTATATCGCTTTAAATTTATTTTAATTGAATTACGCCAACATCAGTCTCCTTTACATTTGCCTTTGAAATAATCATGAAGTGAGCGTAACGTTTCTATATTAAATAAATATATTTGAAATTGAATTAGTTACGATACAAAGTCTCGATGAACACCAAGATTAGACGGCAATGCTCTATTGCGGAACAACAAGACAACAATGCAATAGAATGACCCTAGCGCTCATGTCGGAAAGTTCGTATAAAACCGCAAGTCTTCCTATCACATAGCGGAATAGCGACAAGTATCGTGTCCTTCACAAAACGAACTGATGATGAGAAATGTTTTGCATGTACTCCGAGTGAGGTATACTAGATTAAATCGAGTACCCGTCACGCACGTTCCTGTTAATTTAAAGTAACAGTGACAAATACTTGTTACAAAATAACAGCCTGTGATTTCATACTATGTTGTGACAATTGCTGCAATTGTTACCATAGTAAAAGCTGTTACAGTATGTTACTCTATGTTAAGGTCCGTACTTGTCTTTCTAACAAAGCTATATGACCGATGCAAGAAAAAGAAAGAGCTTGTAACAGTGACAGTATTCAGTAACAACTGTGACAAGGTGTAACAGTTTTTATCACTTTCTAACTAACGTAAACGGCCGTAAGCATGAATATAGAAAAGCATGTGACAGCGTGTCAAGGGACAATTTGTGTGGAACGGAAACGTTTGTCCGTAACAGGTACAGTCTGTTATCTCAATATAACTGTTATATCTGTTACGATAAGTACGCCTCACTCCTAATGTTTTAACATTGACTGGCGTTTTTGCTTGATGTTCGTAGACTGTTGGAACTAGCCAGATCCGACGACCTATTGCGGTAGTCTTCGCTGTCTCACGAATGGGCATATCCGTCCGGGTAAGTACCGCTACCTCACAGAAGACGGGCGTGAAGTGGATGTGTTATACCCTCTCCGATTCGTCTCTTGAGTGAGGTAACCGGGGTCCACCTTATTAAAAGGTGGCAACGCATCTGCAACCCTACGGGGGTTGCAAATGTGAATGGGCGGCGGTTATCACTTATCGCCGTGAACCGTCAGCTCGCTTGCCATCTTCTAAAAAAAACTTGATAAGGCCCTATGGCGTTGGATAGGTTATAATTCGTTTTAAATGGAACGTCAATGACCTGGGATCAATGATGTTTAATAACAATAATATCGATGACGCGTGTCCATACTGCGCGGTTTTTAAAAATTGTTCCGCTTTACATTATATGACATGTATAAGTGAATATGACAGATGATATGGAACGTATGCTACCGAAAGAGATAGCAGTCTATAGAATTGCAATATAATTACACCAATTGGCGTAATTTGAGTGCCTCAGTGTCATATCAACCTCGTATTTGTAATGTCATTGCTGAATTCCTATTGCTTTCTGGTGTCCTTGACTCTCAAAAATTCCCAATTTCAACTATGTGACCGGTACAGGTGACAGATTTGCACTAACTCCCAATGTAAGACGCGTCCAAAACTATCCGAGTGAGTTCACACTTAGTAGGAATTATATAAGTATCATTTAACATTTCTACGAACACAATCAGTTTGACCTATGGCAAACGTTACTTCAGTATTGCGATAAAATACCCCGAGTATGAAAAACAAACGCAGTAGTTAAGTAACACATCCCTAGTTTAAGTGAGATATCAAAACTATTGCAGGTCCTCTGCCAAGAATTGTCGATTACATTCGTGTCTTACGATTCAATATACTAACTTAAACTTACAAACTGTTATCAAATTGAAGAATAAAACAGAAAGATTATTTAATTAAAATCCTGTACAAACATTTTTAAAGACAGCCGGGCAAGCGATCAATTATTGAAATATACTACCCACCTATCAAATAAAAAATACGCTTTCAAAGCAACGAAGAAAATTATAATGATGAATAAATGATTTCATTATGTTGTGCAAAATTATTATAGAAATACATATCGGTAAAAAACTATAATAAAGTATTCAGCTTCTTGACAGCAAACTTTCTTATAGATCGGTGTTCAAAAACTTTAATGAAATTATTAACTTTCTTTTTAATTTTGATACCGTAAACCGGTGACGTGACGCAATCCCTACGTTCTGATAGCCGAGAACTCTTGTATTTACGCGATTTACACATTATAAAATAAAACTGTTTAGATTTTATTGCGTTTAATTTAGTTTGTAATTCCCATAATTTCGCCTTTACAGCGTCCATTGTCAGGGGTTACTGTTCGAACTATTAAAATTAAAAAAGGATATTCTAGAAATATTGAGGTACAAGTAAACAACATTACTCACTTTAAATTCGTGTAAGCTCAAACAAAAACACACCCGTTTACTAGTAACTACACACGTCTACTATAGAACTGTGAACTGATTGTAAGTTATATCAGGGTCGTTTATGGCCAATCTGACAGGTCAGATGTCAACAAAACAAGATGGCGGCCGCGCTGATTACTCATAACTAGTCTGACCAGAAGCTCGCGTTGAGTTGCAAACAATAAGAAAAAAAGTCATTTGTCATTCTTTTCGTTTAATTACGGTACTCTCTTTAAACAGGCGTCAAGTGACCTTTCATCGAATATTACCATCATTATACTCACAGATTAAGTGGACAGTAACATACTTCGAGTAATGATGGTGTAACGTATGTTTTATTAAAAATTCTTAGGTGATAACTCAGAACTGACAACTTGCAATGACTTCTGGCAAATCAGAACCTTAAGGCGTGTCAAGTCAAAACCATTAAAAGATTTGTATAAATGCCAATTATAATTAGACCGTCCTAAATAGAATAGTTATATTTTAATAAATTATTTTACAGTTACAGAATAAACCTTCCTTAAACAGTAAAGTTATTTACGATTTCTCCGAAAGCGAAATATCTTATTATGTTTATCGTATTACTGTTATAATTATGTTCTTTAATTGTAAATATTATGTATCGACTATTTTCCTCGTCGATTTCCAGGAAACCTTACTGTTTTATGTAGGTATATGTTAAAACACATGGTATTAGACGTTTACCCGACTGCGGCGAAGCCAAAAAGGAGGGTTATATATTTTATCTCTATGCACATGTGTCGTCCATGTGCCCTAGTAAGAACTAAACGGCTGAATAGATTTTGAATTTTGATGAATGATAGTCGTTTAGTAACTTCATCATTCTTTTTGAAAAATTTATAAATCGAAATGGTGGATATTTAGCACCGATAAAAATGTTTCCAAGCATTTTTATAGGTGCCATAGTCGGGTTTTTTCAGTTTTTTTTTTTAAATAACTTGTTTGAGATTTGAAACAAGTATAACAACAACAAGAAGTTGCGCATTATCGAAATACATACAGAAAATATTTTATGCAATGTGTTTGTACTATATGCTAATATTAACGGATTTACCTGACCTTCCACCAACCACCACCGCCAACTTCTCTTATTGTTTATGTCCCTGCAGACATCTAAACTAAGGCAAAACGCCAGTGAAATAAATTTTAAACGCCTAGTCATATTATTGCCGTAATAATCAACCCACGCAACATTATTCACTTCTAATCACTTAGAATATATCATAAAAATATTTTATTTAGCTAACTTTTATAACATGATATCACTTATTTGAAAGAAGGAAGAAAATACATTTATTTATCAAAAAAATGGCACAAACAACACAAAAAGAAAAGAAACTAAATTTAACAAAAAATAAATAATACAGTAAAACAAAATAACATAAATACATAAGTAATCCTTACTAACATAATAAAGGCGAAAGTTTGTATGTATGGATGTTTGTTACTCTTTCACGCAAATTCTTCTGAATGGATTTTAATGAAACTACAATAATATAGCTTATACATCAGAATAACACATAGGCTATTAATTTATATACATATTCTTATGTATATTTGTCTTTCTGTCTGAATGTTACGCCTTCAGCCTATTCTACGCACACGTAGTCGCGGGCAGCAGCTAGTTTATATATAAAATAAACAAAAAATAACTCATACGTACGAAAGTATTATACGCCCTATTTCGGCGAATGAGGTTAGCTGTGCCGGAAGTCAAGGTTCCAACACACAGCGGCGATTCTTCAGCGCTTACGAAGCGGTTTTAATAATATCATCCCAACAAAAGCTGTATCGTATAATAATAATAAAATTTTCGTCCGTTTTCTACAAAATTTTCAATTTTATCGCAAGTACAGAGAACAGCACTATAAAAATTTACCTCTTAAAAAAATTAAACACTCCTTTTTTATTCTGTTTTTTTAGTGTTGGTTGTTGTAGCGGCAACAGAAATACATCATTTGTGAAAACTTCAATTGTCACGGATCATGAGATACAGCCTGATAGACATATGTATAGACAGACAGCGGAGTCTTAGTAATAGGGTCCCATTTTACCCTTTGGGTACGGAACCCTAAAAATGTCGCAAAACTTTTCACAACTATCCGGATTCGAAATTCGAACTTGCATCTTTTAAATTACACGTCCAGACGGTTGACATCCTGACTGCGTGAAAATCTTGAAGTCTTAAGGCGCCGTATGCAGTAATAAAACCGTTTAAAAACTTTAAAGTTAAACGGTTTTGTTTTATGTGCACTGAAAACTACAATATTGTATTGTCATCTAATTTAAATATGTGTACCAAATTTCAGATCAATCTGACAACGGGAAGGTGCTTAAATTTCAATTTCTAATTTTGACCCAAATAACAAACAAATTCCGTACGGGTCGAGCTAAATAAAACCGTTTAAAAATAGGTTTTTCAAAAGATTTTTTAAATACACATTTTATAGCAGCAAAAAAAATATGTTAATCTAGATCGTACATTCTAATGGAACATTGTTTCCAAAACATATTCTCGATATATTTTCTCGATAGACAAAAATCATGAAACTACCTCTAAAAGAGAAATTCAAATCCAAAAATGAACGTAATACATCAACAAATCTTAATGAAATTTATATCAGTGGTGTAGAATATATTAATAAAAAGGATTGTTGTTTTAATTTGTTGATTGATGTAAGATATTTGTAAAATGTATTTAATTCAATAAAATTAATTCGATTTACTACTTTATTTTCAACGTTTTTTAGCAATGCTTGACGTTAGATAACGCGTATCCTTTGCAGCAAGCACACTCAAATGTCACACAACCTGTCGCACCAGATTATTAGGACTTATGCGTATGAATTGGTCGAAATATTTAAAAATTCGTATCAGGCTTTTCTTTTATATGTTTAGAGTATGCGATTTGGCAAAATAATAACATCAGTTTGAAATTTTCAATAAAACTTTAAATTGTAATTTTTTCTGCAGATAAAAGTACAAAAAATTCGTCTTCTAGTCTCGCGAAAAGTCGCTTTACCAACTAAGCTAAGCGGCCGATGACTTCAAGGCAGATTCGAATCATTCATTTCATCACTTCCATTCAGTTTATTTATCCACAAAAAATTACAATTTAAAGTTTCATCTCGAGTGCAGAGACTAGAACCAAAAATAATAATTAATCTTAAAAAAAATAAATGAAGTTAAAACATAATGCAATAAGCTGGACATTCAATATTTTTGCTCTTACATTTTTACATAAGATGTTTATCAATTAAAAAACAAGAATATAATATTAGCCCGTCATTGAAATTAGAAATGAAAAACTTTAAATTCATCAATCGATTTATTTGTGAACACGTCACAACCACCTTAAAAATACAACATCAAAAATCAAACTTAAATTAACATCACAAAACCATAATTTTACAGTTAAAGATAAAAAAATCAAAACGCTTAAAACAATCAAAAAGCACCTTTGCGGGCGTCATTTAATACTTTAAAAATACTTCCATATAAAAATTGTCAAAAAAATTGTTTATACAAATATGTAATATTATTTTTATTGATGTGGTCACGCTCAAGTAAATAGGAAGCGTTTGCTTATTCGATACAACATAAATACTTTAGGAACATAGATTTTATTTCTCGTTTGAATATAGAACTCAAATTGGCGGGAGATACAAGAGAGTAAGGGAGTATTTCCAAATTTTATAGTATCTATATTATGTCTTATTAATATTGTAACGTCTTGGGATTTATTCATCCAGACTATTCATTATTATTTTTAATAGATTTGCCGCAATTTTTTTCAAACTTAGATACAGTGTTTTTTTTTTTTATTTGTTTTACTGGAATCGCGTCCTTTAAGCATATACAGAGTGATTATTAAAACAATTGCCAGTAGTAGAAATAAAATTACAAGAAGAAGGGGTGGGTTGACAAATGTAATTTAAATAACATTAAAATAAACAATTCAATGAATAAAATAGCACAGATAGGCAATCAATTGTGCATATTCAGCAACGATTTAATATTAAGCATATAAATACTTTGTGTGTATTTAATTATTATAAAGTTGAAGCTGTTATAATTACGGCTTAACCAATACAAAATCTGTTCAGTTCCAGTCCTCGAAGTACTGTTTGAAGGCAGTCGGCTCTGAACCTTCAGTCACTTTGGATATGTGTACCTGTGATAAGAGACAGTTAAGGCATAATTAAAGTGAAAGTATTGTTATAGTTTAACGTCTTGGGATTTCTCCTTATAGACAAAAAAAAAGTAACAGCCTATAAATGTCCCACTGCTGGGCAAAGGCCTCCTCTGTAAAAAGGGTATCAGGGCATAGTCTACCACGCGACCCCAATGCGGATTGGGGGACTTCACATATTTTCAAAACATTTTTTTATGTTTTACTTCGCCGCCGAGCACGTGATAATTCAGTACTAAAAATTAAGAATTTAAGCGGTGCTGGCACCGGGGATCGAACTCAGGCTGCTCGAGCAAATGTAATTAAAGGCGAGCGCCCGGACACTGAGCTTTTACGGCTCTCCTCCTTATGGACTATTCATCATTAGTTATACCGCCTTTTTTCTGACACAGTTATGGTGGAAACATTCCATACCGATTTTATCCGGTCGAACACAAATACGAAATCAGGTAGTTTACATATTATTAAATTAAAATGTGACTAAACAAGATCAAATCTAATTGAACAATTATTCCAAATTACGTAATTAGTAGGCAAAAATAAAGGACAATTAAAATGTGATTTTTGTGGATAAATTAACAAAAACCGCTGGCGTGGCGGGATTCGAAGACGCTTTACCGCCTAATCTGAGCAGCCGATGACCGCAAAGTTTGGACATTTATCTACTTTCTTTATTGCATTTTAACAATGCTTGGGATTCATCTTCAGTGCATAAATTAGCACTAAACATAAAAATTTATTTAGATAAGAGACTACTGACTTAACACATTAAAAACAGCATTCTTAATAAAGTACCATAGACACTTTTTTCTTCTTTTAGTTTAGACAGTATTAAATACATCGTGGTGTTACGTTTTATTTTGAATCATCAGTTTTCTTTCTTTAAATATTTTGTACGGTGTAATTCTGTAAATATAGACTTATAGACAAAAAAAACATTTTTGATATATTTTTGATAGTTTCCTTTATGCCAGTTACAAGTAAAAAGCATGTTACCCTTCCAAATATTGGTTTCGAAAAATTGATAGACATTATCGGACCTAGATTTACTATCTAAAATTTAATAAAAAAAACCGCCCAAATAAAGGATAAGTTTTTTTTCCCAAAGAGCAAGATGAAAAGTAGAGCTTCAAAAGGGAAGGATCAAATGCTTTATTTTGTCTACCCCTTCTGGTTTAATAGGTAACATAATTGGCTTACCCAAGCCGGATAGTTGTTAGCTTTCAAGTACTGTTGCGCCTTTTCCATCGCCGCTGACTTTTCCTGCAAAATAAAAACAACGCTTTAGACATTTTGGCGGGAAAAGAGCAATTTAAAATGGAACGATCACATCTGCGTTATAAATGTGTGGAAATTATAAATTTTGCAATGCATCCTGATATCATGCGGGTTAGTGGTTAGGTAAAATTTCAGCAGCCCACTTTTATATAGCAAAGAAAAATAAAAATTTAATGATAGAAAAATATAGATAATAATACCTAAAAATAAATCAATAAACAGAAATGGCAAATCACTAATAGTTTTCGAGAAAAAACATAATTAAAATTTATTATTTTCACTAAAGAAAACCGCCATTAATACGTTAATAACATTAATTTTATACAAGTGGTAACTCACTTTTTTACTTTATTGGATGATACAGAGATACAGTATACTTAAAATCAAATCACAAACACATATTTTTACTTGGCGAGCAGGCATTACCAACAATTTTTAATATTCAAGGTTTAACTTTCAAAATTAAAATCATAACAAAAACAATTCAATAATAACAATAATACTATTGAACACAGATTCACATACATACTACATACTACAGATAATCAATTAATTTAAGTATCGATTAATTACTATGATTTTATATCGATTATTTATTATATCGATATAGTCATATTTTTTATATTTCTTATATTTTTGATTTTCATTTATTGAAATTACAAAGTTTTTAAAATCTACATCTTTAATTTTTTTTTTGTTGTTTTATGTAAAAAAATATAAGAAATATTCAAAATTTATTACTACATTGTAAAGTTTGACTCTCCCACGTGCTTCGCCAGAACACTCGCTATGTCGCCCCTGAGTGTCGCATCACCCTGGCTACGCCTTTTTATGTTCACTCTAGGGGTAGGGACCACAAGACCACATGGAGTCGGGGTGCTCTGTGTCGGATCTGTGACTCATTTCGAATGTAACTTAGTTCATTATTATCATAGATTTATAAAAATCACATATAAAACCATCAGCTTGAGTTACGTAAAGACGAATTTAATTTAAATCACTTTATAATACACCATGGTAACATTAAGGGCTTTTAACAAAAACATTTTATAAAATTTGTAATCGAGTTTTGAAATCGATATTAGCATATTGGCTGTATCATTATTTTTGATGCCTAATTGTATGTCAAGTTTATAATCAAAAGTATTTCCCGCTCATTTTATATTAATCAAATATGTATATTCAATCAATATAATACCTACATTATTGTATGTCTTATTTTTTTAATAAAAATTTATTCCAATCAGAATCAAATCGTTCAGTGCTTTTTAATTTTTTGTGTTATCATGAATTCTTGTAAAGAAATTTGAATGTTTTAAGTGTGGACAAGACAGTGTTTTACGGAAGGTTTTTAAATGTGAAAATGTTGTCAATAGTAAAAATGGCGGATTTTCTTAGTGAAAATAACAAGATTTAATTACGTTTTTATTCCCGATATGTGACTATCAATTTTTTTTTATTGATAACTTAGTGATATGTCTCTATAGTTATCTGTGGTTTAAATTTTTCTTTTGTTTGCTATATAAAAGTAGTGGGCTGCTGAAATTTTACCATATTTTTATTTCACGTTTTAAATTCATCATCTTAAGTTCAGAAGCTGGCGCTAAAAATATAAATTAAAATGCTTTGGGAAATTTATCCTATCTTTAATTATATGACTTCATTTAGTCAAGGATTGTTCGGTACACGGTGCGAGAGAGATTTACTTGAATGATAGATTTAAAATATAAGATATTGCTTATATCGTTTTATTGCGTGTATAATTTACAACTTTCCGAAATCCATTGAGTAAATATTCTTTAAAATTTCGGTTCTGATTAAAATTACTAGGTTATATTACAGTTTTTAATCAGAACCGAAATTATAAAGATTGATGGTTGTGGTATAATTACAAATTTCATAGTCTTAGAAATGAAAACATTATTACATAGAACAAAATCTCTCTATTGTTGAGGAAATAAAGATTTATTTAACTTATTACTAAATAATAAGTAGAAGTAATTAACCAACCTTTCCGTTAGACTTTCTGCCGACCCAGACGTAAATGCTGCTTCCAGTATCCAAGATGAAACACTCCTGTCGACGTGTTATATATTTATTATTAAAGTTATATTTATTATTAAACATACAATAAATGGTTAATCTTTTATAAAGGCTACATTTAATATTCGTAGAATACTGTAAACGTTAATAGAAAGTTTAATGGTAGTTAGAAAACAAATGGTGTTACAATTTGATTAAAAGAAAGGAAATTATAACATCAGTTTAATTATAAAATGTCTAATATATCCTAATAGTAGTTGACCCGTGCGAATTTTTGTATTTGTAAATAAGTATCTATCAATGAAAGATCTTATTTTGAATAAAGGTAGGATAAAATCCAATCTAATTCACTTTCTTTAATTTAAACTAATTGTCAATAGATGGTATTGTCATACATTCTTTATACGAATATATATTCAATTTTTATATGAAAGTTTTTCTCATGAAAACATCAACTTTATTCCATTTGTCTATTTTTCGTTAATTGTGGCAAACATACGTTTCAAAATGGAAAAAAGTTATGAATATTTATGGAGGTTATGGTGTTCCGAAGGAAAAAGTCACATCTGAGAAAATATTACGTGCTCGGACATTGTCACCAATTCGATACATCAGATATCTTGGAATATTTTGGAATATTTGACCGCCAATTGCAATGAGATTTCCTGGTGGATGGGATGTAGAGAGAAAGCCTTTGCTCTTTAGCAATGATTCTTCATTTAGGCCGTGTTATAAAAAGTTAAATAGACTGCCACTAGATGGCATTAACAACAATACATGTGTGGTGATTTCAAGTTGTTTTTGTAGTAAAGTAACTGCCTATATTGTACTAGAGATGGGTCGTATCGCTTTTCCTGAGAACCGTACCTGAATCAGATTTCAATTTAAAATATCAGATTTCGAAACTATGTATTTTAATATCTAGATATTTTACATTCGCGTATCCACCTTAAATTCATAATAAAAAAAAATTAAGACCAGTGAGTCCTACAAGGTCAGGCGTACATAAATTTTTTTTATGGTTTTTTAAAACGTAATAGTACATAATTCAATTATGTATTATTAACACGCCAGAACACGCAATCATGAGTGACAATATTTTTATATTTTGTGTAAGAAATAATACATTCAATATTATAGTTTAGGGCGGAAGAATTTAAAATATACACACAAGACACATAAACCTTGGCCTGACGTCCAGCAAAGCAGCACAGCACTATTAAATTACTTATATTTCTCTTTTTCGTTTTGTGTAGTTTTACTTTTTTTCAAAAATGTGAATAAAATTTAACCGCCCCACCGCGCGGATTGGCAAACTTCACACATCTTCGGATATATGTCGAATGAAAACATGTTCAGGCAGCGGTTTATATATCCATACATATATCAACATAACAACAAACCATATATCATTTAATACCATTATACCATACTATTTATTTATTAATAAACCATTTACCAGACTATTTATAAACTCTCTCTCTACAACCTTCTTCACATAGCGTAAAAAAGTAGCTCCCGATTTTTTAATGTGATAAGCAGCAAACGAACTGGCGGTTCACCTGATGTTAAGTGATAACCGCCACCCATGGACATTTGCAACACCCGTAGGGTTGCAAATGCGTTGCGACCTTTTAATAAAGTGCCCACTATATTAAAAGGACTACTCGCCAGACAAAACACAGAAGTATAACACTTCCACTTCACGCCGGTCTTCCGTGAGGTCGTGGTACTTACCCGGACGAGTCTGCCCATTCGTGCAACAGTGAACACTTGCGTGGCCCTACCACAGTTGAACCCGATGTTCGTACGCTTTGATCTTATAACAGCGGATTTTAATGCGGTTTTATACATGAACATTATAGTAGGAAAATACGAGAAATTCAATATAAACATTTCACCTATGCACAGCCGGGGTGGGTCGCTAGTTGTGATTAAAACTTATATTGTTGCCGCCACCGGAATTTGAACTCGGGTTGGTCAAGTATATTGAATGAGAAGCGACCGAAGGGCAATATACAGGATGATGTTATAGACGACGGACATATTAACACAGCATATTCAGAATTTGATTCTAAATCTGAATCTGGTACGTAGCAGACACAAGTACGTACCCAATTAGAAATTCCTGCCTTACTTTCTGTTCGCTAAAACTGTTCGCTGAACGAATAATTACTAAACCGCTTATCGATAGGGTGACCACTCTTAACGGGATAAACAAACAATGAATTGAATTGATATCTTTCTGGTTATTTCTTGTCAAAATAAAATATTAATATTTTTTTTTTAATTTTGGAATGCTCAATTAACATTATGTCAAAGTATGTACTTCGTCTAAAAAAATGACCCTGTATATGTTCACTGCGCTATCACGGCTAGATGCAAGGTTACCTGGGAATCCAAGAGCTCCTGTTTCAGGGGTCCATTCAGCTTCTTAATCTCCATCTGGCCGGTTCTGTCGGATATCTCGCTGAGTGTCGCCTCTTGCGAGGTCCCGCGCTCGAATTCCTGAATATGATACGGCATATTAAATGAAATGGTGAACGGCATATTAAATGAATTAAATGAATGAACGCTGGAAAGGGTTCGAAACGTCGGGAATTTAAATCAAAATAAAAAACGCGATAAAATGCGTACAGTAGTTTCATTTAATATGTATAATATTCGCGTAAAATCAAGAAAACAATATGATACGGCATTTGAGCAAAACGCTTTTGAGGAACAAAATAATGGCCAATTCGCAAACAATTAAATTTTTAGTGTTGGTTAATGTTTAGTTCGTACTTTTCAATGATAGATGTCGCATTACGATTTATATAGTAATTATTAACCGATATGTTGAGATTTTTCTTATGACCATAAACAACTGTTATGTATATTTTTAAAAACTACTGAATAGATTTAATTTTTTTTTAAAACCTTCCTAAAACTCCTGTTTTAAGAGTTTTGCAAAAATAAATTTTACACCAATTAGTGATAATTGCTTTCTCTGAGTGCGTTTGCGAGTTTTAAGATATTCTATAATAATAATAAATAATTGATATTAATATTATTATGTTCATGATGCAATATTTTTCCAGTACTCGGTACCCACTGGCGCAAAAGACAGGTCCACTAACCGCCGAACTGCTCTATTTAAAATGTGTACTGTTAATATTTAAAAAACAACCGCGTCAACGTCTCGTTGAAAATGTCCTCGTGAAAACGTAACACTGTGTATGGGAGTGATTTAAAAAAAGGGTCCAGCTCACTTCATCATCACCGCCTTCAGTGGCATCTGGCACCGAGTCCTGGTCCCCGGAACCCAGGGCCTCGAAGAACTTGCCCAAATCGCCCTCGTTCGAGTAGGGATCTGAAATAAATATATAGGGTACCACAAGGTTTTACGTTAGGACCAAACTTCTTCATTCTATAATATAAAATGTGTATGATGTGTTGCGCAAACGGGTAGGTGAGGTAGCCGGGAGCCACCTTACTGAAACCATATCGCATAAACAATCTGTCTATAGCGACAAACATGAGCTACCAAATGGTGCCAAAACCGTTAATTTTGATGAGGAATTATGGAAATTATCGCGTTGCAACAAACACACATTTTAAAACTAGTGTAGTAAATAGTGATTGGAAAATAACGATTTTTTTTAATAACTAATACGCTTTCAGTCCTTAGACTATTAAAGCTTCATCGAACGCAGAACCGGTGGGCTAGCCCGAACCCACGGGTTTGAGGCCCTCCTCAGTGGGTAGGGCCACGCATGTACTCATGCGTGCGTTAGTTGTGACATGTCGCTTACGGGCTATCGAGGTTCGGTGAATACCGTGACCCCGATGGCCGTTGACCGTGCTTGTTTAGTCGGTGGCTGGGGGCGGTGAGAACCGGCAACTCGGGTGTACCTAGTGTACGCGTTGTGTTGGTTTCGCCGTGCTCGAAGGCGAGGACAAACTATGGTGTTTGTTGATGCACTAACTGTGTAACTAGTTTATAGTGTTATTTGGCGGGACCCCCGACGGTGGGTCCGAGGTTTAAAGTGACGAATGTTCTGGAAGCGGCGTTACCGATTATCTCGATGTTTCCCCTCCCGCTGTGGTCCTGGTCCCTGATCTGGTTGGCCACCGTGATCGCCTTCAGACGCTCAACGCTCTTGGAGCCGTCGCCGACGTACACGAAGATGTCGTGATTCACGTCCAGGATGAAGCAGTCGCCCTTGTTCATAGACGCCACGGAGGCCTCGACCTGCACGGCCCGGAGAAATGTTCATGTTTGAATGAATGAATGAATGAATGGATGGATGAATTAATGATTGAATATTTGTTTAGTTTCAACACAGTTATGTCAACTGTTGGAGATTCGGGTATTAAAATTCGATACAACTCGTAGGATTGCATTGGTGTATATTTAGCGTTAGAATGTGTTAGATACAGACAACTGTAGTTAATATGATCGGTTTCCGAACGCAGCATAGTAGCGAGCGCCCTATCAAGCATGATTTTCTACGTCACATTATATATATTGTCAGTTTCGCCCACCATCTCATATACTTGTACTGTAATAATAACTTACAAAGTAAACCACTGTTATGTATGTGCCAGTTATTATTCCACACCCTAATTCAAATAAGTTTATACACAATAGAATGTTACAATTATTTAGTGCAATTTTAAAGGAAAACGTTACAATTTAGATAGTTTAATGTGATTTGTTTCAGTAAAATATCACTTCACCTGCTTCACACGGACATTCCTTTTCCCCTTGATCTGGAACAGTCTTTTCTCTGCTCCCGCGTTGATGGTCACGTGGCTGAACCCAGAGGCATGTCCTCCCTCCATATACCTTATCGCTGGAAGACAGTAAAAAGCTAATGCATCTAAAACATTCTTCGCGAACATCCCACAACCCCAAGGCCCAATTCATGCGAAATTCGATGCATAGTAGTTTTTAATATTTTGTTGATAATAAATCTGTTTATACCAGTAATAAGAATGCTAATACGGTGTTTTTATAAGTTTTGTTTGTCTGTCTGTATGAAAGTGCGTCTTGAAATGACTCCGTCAATTACCAACGGATTTCAATTAAAGTCATATATGTCATAAGTAAAGTAACAGCCTATACATCTCCCACTGCTGGGCAAAGGCCTCCTTTATACAGAGGGTATCAGGGCATAGTCCACCACGCGGCCCCACTGCGGATTGGCGGACTTCACATATCTTCGAAATATTTTTTTTGTTATTACTTCGAAAATATGCAGGTTTCCTCACGATGTTTTCCTTCACCGCGGAGCCCGTGATAAGTCAGCACTGAAAGTTAAAAACTTCATTGGTGCCGGCACCGGGGATCGAACTCAGGTTGCTGGAGTATATTGAATTAAAGGCGAGCGCCCGGACACTGAGCTATCACGGCTCTCAGGCACAGTTTCGTATATATTTTGATATCTTGCAGTGTTCATATAACCAATAACGTTCATAATAAAAGGCATGTAAATACATTCTTCTTTTGAATAGCTATGTTGTGAACAAATATTATTATTTTTTTTATGTTCTTACTTTAGCAAATTAATCCATCGGCTAGTTTTTGAGTTTTGTCGACACAGATTCACACAGAAGCTAAATTTTCACATAAAAACATTTACAAAACCAGTGTTACATAGAACGTGAACAATATAAGTTTTTACAGAGAATAATTATTGTGAACTTAAGAATTCAACACACTGATCCCCAAGATTGTGCGATCGATGATACATGAAACAGTATGTACGTTATATCATATACAGTAACCCAAAGACATGCTAAACTAGATAGTGTTATTTATATGTTTAAGTTTATCAGCATATCGCAAAAAGGGAGTTTTATAACTTATCACTATTGTTTCTAATTAAACCGTTTACTATTTTACTTTAATATACCCAAACAACTGGCAAACTATAAATAAACAACAAATTCCATGTACGATGGACATTTTATTTTACTTTTTATATATTACGATGACAAAGCTGATAGAACTTTGTAAAGAAAAATGAAAAAAAAGGGCGTGCGATGACGCGCCCAACCATCACGACCTTTATGAATCGAGTCCGCCCCATTAGGGAATTGCTTGCCATGGTAAATGCCAAAACGTCATAATAATATTGTTAACGACACGCGGTATATCAGAGGTAGCCAACAGGTAACGTTATTAAGGAAATAAAAGTAAAAAAAAGTATAGTACCAGCCTATACATATCCCCCTGGTGGGCAAAGGCTTTCTCTGTACCGATTAAGGCATTACACCACACGATCCGGTTGCCGATTGGCGGACGTCATATATCTTTGAAATATATTTTTTGTTTTTATTTCTTCAGGATGTCTTCATTCAAGAGAACCAAGAGTTTCCGCAGAGAACGTGATAACTCAGCACTTAAAATAAAAAAAAATACTGTAGGTACTGGCACCGGTATTTGTACCCCGGTTGCTCGAATATATTCAATTATAGCCCAGGCACAGTTGCCTGGGCTATAATTGAATTAAAATAGCTCAGTAGCTATCACAACTCTTTAGGGATATATTGACATATAAAAAAAAGCTATGAACACAACTTGATAAATATAGCAGTTATTAGGGATCTAAATCATGGTATGTATTTCACATTACATCCCTGTATTGACAATAAGTCGACATCGCCCCAACTTCTTCGCTGCATTATCAAATACCAGTTAAGAACAATTTAAGATCTGAAGTTCTGTTGTTCTATTATCGCAGTGTGGAACGACCTCTTGCTAGGTGGAGTGACGACTTGTGCAAGTGTGCGGGAAGTCGATAGATGCAGGTGGGATCGTGATTCGTGGCAGTCTGTGGAGGAGGCCTATGTTCAGCAGTGGAATCTAACAGCCTGAAATGATGATGATGGTGTTTTGTCAAAAAACACCTTTAAAAATAATATATAGAGATGTCCGTTCTACGGACGAGTCAAAATTGCGAACGGACGATGGATCTCGACATTCGTAAAAACTCTAAAAAGGCCTCGATCCAATGAAACAGTCCCGAGACCTTGCCATGATAGTTAACCGTGCTGCAACCAGTATTTCATATTTGCCCCACCAACTATAACCCAGCTCCCAGAGTTTACAATAGACTTCAAAATCCCATTGACTGAGACAGATACGTTTAAACCCATGATAGTTCAACGTGCTGTATCAACTATTTCATATTTGCATCACCAATTATATACCAGAATATATCAATTACTTCTAAATCCCATTGACTAAAACAGATACGTTTTAACCCATGATAGTTCATCGTGCTGCATCCATTATTTCATATTTGCATTACCAATTATATGCTAGAGCATACAAAAGACTTCTAAATCCCATTGACTGAAAGAGATACATTTAAACCCATAGTCCGTGCATTATACTTGCGTTTCTCTGAAGAATTGGACCTGACGCCGGCATCAAGACCTGCAAACGGATCGAAGTTTTATAGCGGACATTTGAAACTCACCCACACACCGTGGAAGACAAAATGGTCACACGTTGTTCATTCTGGACATATGCAACGCCCTGACCTGATCACGGATAGATTCAGGACTAGTCTCCGCTCGCATCGGATGTAACGCACAACAACTTGTGTAACCTTACTTTACTATTGTATTCTTGCGTACCTTAAGTTTGTACTTATATCCTTACCTTACTCGATTTGGTTTAGTATTGTTAATCATCATATAACCGCGGTTAGTGGAAAAAATATTTGATATATTTTATAAGGTTCTTGGTAGATTTATTAGATTTAGAATGCTTCTCCTTCAATTAAGTAAGTTTGACCACGCAGACCGATTCTGATCAGATAAATAAATAGGGCACCGTTTAGTGGCATTTAGTTCGTCCTGCCAGTGAGTTACTGTTTACAATCCTAGATAAATGCAGATATATATTTTACATGCTGCACCGTACAGGCGATGAAAGTTAACAAAAAACGAAAATGGAATAATGAATAATAATAGACAAAAAGATAGACAATGAAAAAGTTGAACACTCTCCAGTCCAATTTGTTTTTAGTTCCAGTGACCAGCGGAGAGTCTACGTGAGTTGACACGCATCTGAATCTGACAACAATACTAATACCAATCTGACAACAATACTAATGCAATAATAACACCAAACAATAGTTTTGGTAAAGTATTTAAAAATCTAACCTTCAGTTTTACGAAAAATCCTTTACGGATTAGGGGGAGAGGCAGAGGCATCAGAGTGTCCCGCATAGATCGAGTAACCACTAAAAACGCTGCAGCTGTACTGTCTCATCTGCAGGGAACACGGGAAAAGGAAAATATCCGTGACCCAAGCATGATAATTTCCTTCTCAGGCCTCCCCTCTTCGGGTACTATCACACCTGGTCCAGCCATATGGTGCCGTACCGGTGCAATTAGCACAGAACACCGCACGAGCCCCATATTGAGCGGCAGACATCCCCCATGCCGGTCACTCGGTGTCGAACTATAGAGAGGGAAGGGTGCACGCGAAGGCCAGCTGGTCTGGTAGCGGATATCCATGGTAGCTGTTGCCTTCCTGAGTGTCTCCACAGCCTTATGTCAGGTGATGACATCCTCAGAATATTCGAGGACAGCACAGCACGCTCTCTCACGGCCCACCATAGCCCAAATCAAGGTAGGCAGCGAAAGCCCGCGCCCCACGATAGCGCTCAGCTCTCGGCAATGCTCTATCCAGGCTGGGCGATCCTCCAGCGCTGGGCCGTCTTCTCGGCATACGTGGAATTTCTCTGTATCCCCCCTCCTCCCCGCTACCCTGGAACCTACCGAAACAACCGTGTCGCCTGTATGCCGGATGTCCGTGACCAAATGTCACAAGCTTCCGCCTCCTAAACCCAGAATATGTAACTTATCCAAGTCTCACCCGGCTCGAAGTAGCTCAGGAACTGCCTGGACTCGTGGCCCTGCGTCTCCCGGTGCTGCACCGCGTCCCCATGGAACTGCTCGTCGTCCAGGTTGACGGAGAGGATAGCGGCCGAGCCGGCCTCGTCCTGACTGGTGTTGGCGCCGAGCCAGAAATGGATATCCCAGGAGAGGCGGCTCGAGCCAGTGGTCTTGGAAGGTGGACAAATTACGCTTTTGATTTAACGTTCCTTTTAGTTTATTACATAAACAAGTATATAAATTATTATATATTATTTAGTTTACTACATAAACTGTGGTACGACCACGCAACAGTGTTCACTGGGTAAGTACCACGTCTACCTCACAGAAGACCGGCGTAAAGTAGAAGTGTTAAACTTCTGCGTTTCGTCTGGTGAGTGAGGTAGACGGGGCTCACTTTATTTAAAGGTGGCGACGCATTTGTAACCCTATTTGTGTTGCAAAAGTCCATAGGCGACCGGTTTCACTTGACGTCAGGCGAACCGCCAGCTCGTTTGCCATAAAATTTAATTTAATTTCTCACATAAAAGCAATAAAAAATATATATATGAATATTTCAGGACATATTTTTGCACAACGTTATCCCAAACTCAACAAATGTTAGGTAATGGATAAAATATTTCTTCGTGTAAATAAATACATATTATGGATTTACCACCACTCTTAACCTCTTGGGAAAAAGACGTGAGATGCGACTGCAGTCTTTAACTGACATGTCAGACTACAGGCGGCTTAATAGGCAGATCTCCAAATGCATGCGGCGAGACTTATGCATCTTCTATACAGCTCGTATTGAGGAAGCTATAGAGCGGAACCTAGGCTCAAAAGTCTTCGCCAGAGATCTGTCTATCGGACAAAGCCAAGACAAGCTGTCATCTCCAGTAGACCAGAGGTTTTGAGTGAGATTGAGAGGTTCTATGGACGGCTGTACACATCGTCGTTGGAGCCACACACATGTGTGAGTTACGACCCAAGAGCAAAGCTTATCCGACACTATTCCGAGAATATCCCGGACGTCAGTCTGAGCGAGATTAGAATGGCTCTCGACCATCTTAAGAATGTCAAAGCATCGGGAGAGGACGGAGTTACAGCAGAGCTTCTGAAAGCGGGTGGAGAACCGGTACTTGTAGTCCTTCAGAGGCTCTTTAATTTCGTCCTTCAAGGTGGTGCTACACCAGAGGCGTGGAGCAGAAGTGTGGTGGTGCTGTTCTTCAAGAAAGGCGATAACACTCTCTTGAAGAACTATAGACCGATATCCCTTCTGAGCCGCGTCTATGTGCTGTTCTCAAGAGTCATCTTGAACCGTCTCGCTTCCAGACTCGACGACTTCCAGCCTCCCGAACAAGCCGGATTCCGGAAAGGCTTCAGTACCATAGACCACATACCCACCTTGCGGCAGGTTATACAGAAGACCGAAGAGTATAATCTGCTTTTGTGCCTAGCGTATGTGGACTATGAGAAAGCCTTCGATTCTGTCGAAATTTGGGCGGTACTCCAGGCTCTTCAGCGGTGCCAAATTGACTGTCGGTATATCGAAGTGCTGAGGTGTTTGTATAACAAGGCTACGATGTCCGTCCAAGTACAGTCCAGTAGTACAAAACCTATCCATCTGCAGAAGGGTGTAAGACAGGATGATGTCATATCCCCGAAACTCTTCACCGCTGCGTTGTTGGAAGATGTTTTCAAGCTTCTGGACTGGAAAGGACGAGGTATTAACATCAATGGCGAATACATCACCCACCTTCAATTTGCCGACGATATAGTCATCATGGCAGAATCGCTGGAGGACCTGGGTGCTATGCTCAATGACCTCAACAGTGTCTCCCAACGGGTGGGCCTTAAGATGAACATGGACAAGACGAAGATCATGTCTAATGTCCATGTCACGCCTATACCGGTTTTTGTTGGGAGCACTGAGCTCGAAGTTGTTGACGAGTATGTTTACCTAGGACAGTCCGGCTAGGTAAGTCCAACTTCGACGCAGAGGTCAATCGGCGAATCCAACTCGGATGGGCAGCGTTCGGGAAACTTCGGCAAATCTTCTCGTCGAATATACCTCAATGTTTGAAGACTAAAGTCTTCAATCAATGTGTGTTGCCAGTGATGACCTACGGAACCGAGACGTGGTCCTTCACTGCTGGCCGTATGAGGAAGCTCAAAGTCGCTCAGCGAGCTATGGAGCGGGCTATGCTCGGTATTTCTCTGCGTGATAGAGTTCGTAACGAAGACATCCGCAGTAGAACCAAGGTAACCGACATAGCTCAGAGGATTAGCAAGCTGAAGTGGCGATGGGCCGGCCATATAGCTCGTAGAACCGATAACCGTTGGGGAAGAAAGGTTCTCGAGTGGCAGCCTCGTACTGGCCATCGCAGTGTATGACGACCCCCCACTAGATGGAGTGACGACCTGTGCAAATGTGCGGGAAGTCGATGGATGCAGGTGGCTCAGGATCGTACTTCGTGGCAGTCTACGGGGGAGGCCTATGTTCAGCAGTGGACTCAAACAGGCTGAAATGATGATGATGATAATGATGGATTTAACAATCGCCCAGAAAAACACTTTCATTATCACACATGTAGATATCCGGACACTAGAAAAACCTTATGTTGACCACTCAATATAATTTTTCCAGTAGTGGGAATCGAAACCATGCTCCCAAGAGCAAGGATACATATCCACTACGCCAATCAATATATCAAAAACTGCTAATAAACACTTTCACTATTTTTTTATCGACAAAATAAAATAAGTATGTCTTGAAATCATCATGTTTTTATGCGTATAGCAGTTCAAGGGTAATCCCACATATATGATCATAATCGTTTGAATCAAGGAAAACAGATCCTCGATTCAATCACGGGAAAATGCTTATATTTTTAAATTTTTCCGTTTAAGATTGTAATTTTACGTAGTAAATTGGCGAGAGGTTTTCCTTGATTTTACAAATTTAAAAATATATTTTTTTATAATACTCTTTTAGGAGGAGCTACGATAGCTCAGTGGGAGACTCACCTTAAGCACGATGTAGGAGTCGCCGCTATAAAAGTTTCCATACTGGTGTGGCGGCACAGGAACCGGTTCAAAGTCCTGAGGGATATAGAGGAATCGTATGTACAAACACTCACGACTTGTATAACCAAAAGTGTTAACATTATATCTCTATTTAATTATGTATTCGTTTTAAAAGGTTTTATGTAGGACTAAGAACCGCATAACTTACATGGTTCTTCATCAAATTGAATGGTTTAAACACAATTTTAGAGCTAAATTTTCGCGGTATAGACGAAAAATAGATAAATACATTAAAATGAATGTTCGCGTGATATCGTCTTATGAGTGAGGTGACCAGCGCTCACTTTATACTTTACTTTTTAACGAAGGAGGAGTTAGATTTGTCTGTTATAGGTTATTAAAGTTATAGATTACATAACATCGGGTGAACTGCTTGCTAGCGTGTGTAAAAACGTAGGTATTTCTAAGGATTATACATATTTACAATTCGTAGTTTACATTAAAACCAACCAGCAATGGAAACGCACGCAATAATATGTGCTCTGTTTAAACCGAATTTAGACGAACGATAGTTTTACTACTGCTCAGAATAAACAAGAAAGTTTACCTCGTCTACTATAATGTATCGAAAGATACGGAAACAGAGAAGATACATGATTTTTAAAGAGGTATGGATGGCTCTTTAAAAAGTCCTTGCCTAGAGTGTTATAATTGATAAGAATAAACAACGGCAAACCAGCACTAAAAGTTCTCACGATTAAGCACTTCTAACGGGAATCTATGAATCTATCATGATGAATAAGATCTAACAAACAACTGCATTACTTACTAGACTTAGTTAATACACTCCATGGAGTAAATAATACGTTCACGGGGCGATGTATACACTTCTAGATCAAAATCCCAGTGAATGCACAAAGCCTAACAACCCATGCCTATCTACAGGTTGAATCATTTATGATAATAACACCTATAAAGGAATTAATGGCCCCAAACTTTTTCTAAAAGAAAATATGTTTCATTTACTAAGTTTATGCAATTATTGATAACGGTTTAAATAAATAACTTGGAATTATAGGTAAATGTCAATAAGTTATTATTGGTGCAAATGTGCGACAATTCGATGGATGCAGATGGCTCAGGATCATACTTTGTGGCAGTCTATGGGGGAGGCCTGTGTTCAGCAGTGGACTCAAACAGGCTAAAATTATGACGGTGATTATGATGGTAATACCGTGAAGTTAATCGCTTTGCTACTTCGTAAAAATTATAGTTTCATTTAGTGTTCCAAATGCGCCAAAATAAGTATAATTTCAAAAAATTACTATCGATAGATGAAATGTATTATTTCGATAAATGGGTTAATATGATTTGATTTCATTTATTATCGCCCGGTTACTGAAACACTGATCATCGTAGACGTCAATTGAACTCAACAACCAGAATGGTCTTCTTTATGGTCAGAATGATCAATTCGAAGAGTTTAACCATCCTTTTGGCAACTCAAATGACATTTGAAAATCCATTTGACAGCTGATTAGTTAACATTTACGAAGATCAGTGTTTCAGAAACCGGGCGTAAGACGTCTAAGTTAAACTAATCAAAACTTAAAACATTTTTTTCTATATAAACTGCTTCAAACAGTTTTCAATTTTATATTAAGTTTTTATAGTGCTATTCTCTGCACTTTAGATGAAAGATTAAATTAGAAAATTGGACGAAGTCTTTCGCAGCTGCGAGCAATGTAGATAAAATACGTGGAGATCTTCGATATCTGCTTCCGTAAACTGCTGTATACTCATTTACCAGTAAGTTCACAATTGTAAGCAATATGGGTTGCGTTACCATTACAAAATTTTAGGTCATATCTAATATGAATCAATATTGACCGTTCCTATATTTAAATATCGAACGAAACAAAGCTTAATCATTCCCAATGTTGATTACAGCCTAATTAGTTTGGTTTATTATAACTAACGAGATATTATGTTATCTGTGGAAAAATATTGTGTTGGAGGCTCAGCGTAAACGGCACGAGCGTAATATGTATAATCTGTGGTAAATAAACAAATAAATTTGTAAAATAATGTTCATGATAGGCTGTACGGAGAAATCCAACAATGTCAACAGAAATAAGTAAAACTAACGATGCTATCAAACATTATAAAGAGAAGTACCGTAATATAAAATATATATTATATTATCACGTGCTCAGCTGTGAAGGAAAACATCGTGAGGAAACCCACATGTTTTGGAAATTCGAAGATATTTGTGAAGTCCGCCAATCCGTAGTGGCGTGGTGGACTATACCTAATACCCTTTGCACGAAGGAGGCCTTTGCCCAGCAGTGGGACTTATAATGGCTGAATTTACTTTACTTTTAGAGAAGTATCTATCCTATTCCAGAGTACTTTTTACTTTACTAACTAACGTAAATATTGAACAATTTTAAATACATACATAGATAATAATTAATACAGAGTATATTGGAACTGATATACTGGTACTTATTACCCGCCTTGAGCTAAATATACATGCACTTACGGAATGCAGTGTCAAAAACATAGCAGGTAATAATTATTGTTCTTGTTTTGTTACTGTCACGGTGAATAATTCTGCACAGAGCTATATTCTTAAATTAGACGTTTCAAGCAGAATTTCACCGCACGCGTAAGCGATTATTTTTAAATTCAGTTGTTTTATATCCTCGATAAATAAGGTAACGGACTATATCTTTATATTATATAATTCTACTGTTCGTGTGTTGTCACTGAACTCCTAAACGGCTGGACCGATTTTATAGATTTTTTTTTGTATGCGTTTGGGTGGCGCCCTGGAAGTTTAGATTCACATTTCGTTTTTGTTTTGTTTTTTTTTTTTATTATAAGTTGTTATCGGATTTAAGTCGTGTGTACAGGACAACGCCTGCCCGGTACGCTGGTATACTTATAATATCCCACTACTGTGCAGTCCCCAGTGCTAATCACCAATAATTTTTTTTAATGAGTCGGTGGCAAGCGATCTGGCGGTTCACCTGATTTTAATTTGATAATCGTCGCCCTAGGACATTTGCAACACCCGTAGGGTTGCAGAATCGTTGCCATCTTTCAAAAAAGTGGGCCCCGGTTACCTCACTCACTACACAAAACGCAGAAGTGTAACACTTCCTGCCACATGCCCATTCGTGCAACAGCGAACCGTTGCAAGGCCCTACCACAGTGAAGCAATCAATTTTTTTTTTCAACTTTCTTATTTTGTTTTTTATATATTTTAGATACATAATTATATGCAGAATATGTTACAATACTGAGAAATAAACTTGAAATGCGATAAAAGTGTTTTAAGTCTTTATTTTACCCGACCGCATAAGGAGAGTAATGTTTTCGAGCATATGTATGTAAACATATTGACGGAGTAAGAAATGGAAACGTAAACAAAAAAGCTTTTTGATCTCAATATTAATAATATTCTAAATACTCGTACGTTCTTATTAAATAGGGTTAAAGTTAATAATTATAAAAAAATCTGTGAAAATAATGTCTGAAATTTAATTTTTTTACTATAGAACCTGTTACATAGACGTGGTTTTTGACATTTGAAAGAATACTTTCCCGCCAAAGCTCCGTGCCGGCCGCCACAGACGCTAAATGCATTCCACGCAGTACATGTGAATATAAAAATTATTTTCCTCCTACAGCACGGTTCGGACAAGTCGTAAGTTTCAAAATAGTTTAAGAGCATTTATTTCTAGATCTGTGTTCTTGCAGTCACCAAGCGCCCACAGACAACTGATGCCAGAATGCTTTTAATGTCCCAAAACACTGTAAATGTAAAAATCGATCAAAAGTTATGTAATTTAGTATTTATCGCGATATTGTTTTTATAAGACAATATAAAAAGGAAAAGTTAATTTATAACTTCGTTTGTATTTGGTCACTTTTTTTGTTACCTTTTTGCTTTTAATTCAATAATATCTAATTCAACAAGAAATATGTTTTATTTAATAACAATTTTAATTTGTAACTTTATTTTTTTATATAGTTACATATCCAAACGTGTGTGTGTGTACCTACTTAGGTACGCACGTAAGAAGAGATATTATACTTCTTTGGTGTCACAAAAAAAATTAAGAAGAAAGTTATTAAAGTTATTACACCATGTTATTACACCATGAAGAAAGTTATTACACCATGTAGAAAGTTATTACAACATGAAGTTATTCGCGCGACAATCGATTCGAATCTCTCTTTACTAATGTGCTGCTGGACCCTAAAATACCATATGCACTTTTTGCTTAGATCGCAATAAGAATAAATAATGAATAAACAAATAAATGACGATAGCCGGATTGTCCGTTACATTAGGACATAAAATAACTCAGTCTGTTACGTGGCCATGAACGCCGAGGATTTGAAACGTCGGGTATTTAAAATCTTTATTACCAAAATTAAAATTACAACGCGACCAAATCCGCATAATAGTTTCATGTATAATATTCGTGTAAAATGAAACTAGAAATCAATAATGTGTCAAACGTCAGTAATGTGTAAATCAGGTTTTGGTGATAATGTGTTAGTTAATTATAGTCTTAATATCATTTCGCCGTGGGCGCGCATCGTAAAAATTCACTCTCATATTTTTTTCCGTAACGTGCCGAAAAACGTACAATTTCCAAGAAGCTGTTTTATAGTTACAAGAAGATTTTATCACATCATGTATACTAATAAATGGAGGGCCGTTTTGTTTTTGACGGTTATCACTTTACATCAGGTGAGCCGCCTGCTCGTTTGCCACTTTGTCACATAATAAAAATCAACTACGCCAATTGGGTCGCCGTTGAAAAGAAAATATACGGTCAAATTGAGAAACCCCCTCCTTTTTTGAAGTCGGTTAATGACTATCTATAGAGGATATTTATGTTTCATAAGTCTTATGAAACATAAAAGCAATTATTGCCGTCATCTAATGCTTCGTTTACAGCAGGGGTGAGCAACCTTTTTAATCAATGGGCCAATTTAAATTTGAAAATTTTTTTGGCGGGCCGCACATAATAATTTACGAAACTTTATCTATAATAAATATTAGAATAATAAAATATAAAATTTAAAAAAAGTAAAATTTCATAAAAAAATTTTTTATGAATTTTTTTTTAACAATGAATATTTGAATAAAAACATTGGACTCACTTCGACCCTCCATATCTCCAGTCCTTGCTTCTTCCCCGCGTTGGCGAACGCCGGATGTACCTCGGGCATTATCTGGAACAAACAGCGGGTTTCCATTGTGACACGTCAAAGACAACTCTCGTCCGTCATCATCGAATCTCGAAGTAGAATGTAGAACCACATGATTCGCGCTAATACGAGTAATTTTAAATACTAATGTATTGAACATTAGTATTTAAAATTACTACTAATTTCACCACAAAAGTGAAAGCAAGTAAATTTTTCGACCAACTTTCAAAAAAGATACAGCTCAGAATAGAATTTTACTTTGTACAAAAGAGAAGTTTTAAAATCACAAATGACAAAGTTCTGAAGTAACAAACGTATACAAACAAACTTAGAAAATCCTCCTTTTTTAAAAGTCCCTCTCTTTACAGAGTTGTTTTTTTATGTGAAAAGTTGTCACCCGATGTTAAGTGAATACCACAGGCCATGGACATATATACCTATATGATATACAACAGGCGATGGCTTGCTGATGCGGTGACAACATTTAAAAAAGAACAACACCAGACGATACACAAACGTATATATTGCCACTCCAAGCCTTTTGCGAGGCCGTGATAATTCATCCGACGAGCCTGCCCATTCGTGCAACAGCAAAACTGTTCCGTTCTTTACCACGGCAAAGAAAGTTTGTGTGCGCAGTATCAAAGGCAATAAATTTAATAAAACACTTGCAAACTTCTTTAATAGATAGTGATAAATGAAACACTTAACATTAATCTTGAGTGGATACGTTTTTAGTTAACGTACATACACAATCACGTATAATTTTATAGACATAATTCATCACTTCAAATTAGTGCCCGTTCTATTTGATGTTACATTTCGTTATCGCCGGCGGATGTTTCAGAGGAAAGAGTAAATAAAAAATACAAAGCTACACTTTTAATGGAAAATATTGCATCGTTGATAGTTTAAATTTTATCCTAAATCTACACAAATTTATATTTGTAACATATTTACTTATATAATCATTTCTTGTAAATACGCGATTACAAATTACTTAATGAAACTATGTTTACGGATTTATCGCGTTTATTTTTAGTTTCAATTTCGAACCCTTTGCATCGTTCATGGTAGTACCTAATATTTGCTTTTATTTTTTTTATTAATATATAAATCGTTACATTATCACTTTAAGAATCTAGTAAGTTTTCTAAATTACCAAAAAAAGAATCAGTGAACAACCTATTCCTATTCTGAATCTGAACTAAATATTATCTAGGGTTTTACACACAATGACACATGTTTGCAAACATGCGTCACAGTGTAGCCGCGTAACGGCGTCTAGGGTTGCCACCCGTACTCTATTATATAGCACTGTACGTTATTTCGAATAATACTATTATTGGAAATAACATACTCTAACGTTATTTCCTTACCCTCGGTACAGAAGATGCCTTTCTCCAAAAGTGGGAAGTATATAGACTGTTACTTTTATATAAATTTAGAATAGATAGCAATGTATTAGAGGATTTCGAAAAATTTAATCAGCAAAAACTTAATCCAAATTTAAATTTTGGAAACGTCCTAGGCTTAACGCCGCGGCTGACAAGAGAGCTGGTTCTTTTCTCGCAAAAAGGTTAAGAATAACTATGCAGCGAGGAAATTTAGCTAGCGTTCTTGGCACGATGTTGCGTGCACTAGGTTTATTAAATAATATGTAATTTTAGATAGATTTAATGTTGGAAATGTTGGTACATAAATTATACAGGGAGACTTTTTTTAAAGGTGTCCAAATTCACACAGGAGGTTCAGACTCGGTAGTATAATCGTTTATTGAAATAAAAAACAATTTTTTTTTTCAAAAAAAATTACCATTCTATTCCCTAAAAAACAGAACTTGTTGACAACGCGGTAGTCATTCATAAATACCTAAATTTTACTGTTCACGCACACAAACGAACTTGTGTGCGTGTAGTTATGAATGATCGCGCGTAAAATGTAATCCGATATAAAGTTCTAAAGGTTTTCCAGAATTCTCATACAAATGGCAGAAAATATATTATTAACATTGATGACAACTTTTCAAACTTGTATGAATTAATTTAATTTTTCTGTCGATCCCCTTCAAATCAGCATTCACAGAGAAAGTTTATTCTGTGATGACTAGTTAATGGCGAGACGAAAGAAACAAAGCGTCTCAGAATCTGATAAATAATTACTTTCTTATTTACTTTCACCTTAGTAACTTACAGACAGTAAAAATGCTGTGCAGTTGTTTAGAAGTCATAGTTTTTTGTAGAAACTCGCTATAAATTTATTAAAAATATATTTTCAAGCAATCTCTAAATCTGATAAGAGCCGTGATAGCTCAGTATCCCAGCGCTCGCCTTAAATTAAATATACTCGAGCAAAACTGAGTTCGATCCCCGGTGCCGGCACCAATTAAGTTTTTAACTTTAAGTGCTGACTTATCACGTGCTCAGCGGTGAAGGAAAACATCGTGAGGAAACCTGCATATTTTCGAAATAATAACAAAAAGAAATATTTCAAAGATATGTGAAGTCCGCCAATCCGCAGTGGGGCCGCGTGGTGGACTATGCCCTGATACTCTCTGTACAGAGGAGGCCTTTGCCCAGCAGGGGGACATGAATAAGCTGAAACTTTCTAAATCTGATAAAAAAATTAATATCTTATTTACTCTAACCTTACTACAGACTGTAAAAATGCTGTACAGCTGTTTAGTTGTGGTAGTTATTGTTGAAAGTTGCTAAAATTAACAAAAAGTGTGTTATCAAGATAACTAAAACATACTTTATTTTGACACAATGTACTTTTTTTTACCTTTAATAATCAATTTGGTTTATTTGCAGAGGAAGTATGGCAGCCCTAGGCGTCATAGCTCCGTCCCTCTCCAACGTATTGCCGTCTCGCTTGATCGAGAACCGCGATTTAGTTCATAATACGAGACGAAGGTCAGACTCGCTCGAATAATAAAGAGCAGCTTTGTTAAGGGTCAGGCTTTTGACCTTGAGGGGTAGAAAACGATTTTATTTATTTAAGCTTCGTTGCCAACTTTATAAGGTAACAAAGGGTCTTAATGCCTGAAGGGATTCTTTACCAGTCAACCCATATTCATTTATTTATTTTTATTTACTACTAGCTGTTGCCCGCGACTACGTCCGCGTGGAATAGGATGAAAGCGAAAAATTCAGACAGATACAGACAGATATCTATACATATAATAAAAATGTAACTTGTCTTTGTCTGTACATGGAAGATATTTGAGAAAAACTATTATTAAAGATCCCCCTTTATCAACACAATAGAACCCAAAACAATGGTTGTTAAAATTTTTGTCCGTGTGTATGTGCGTTTGTAATCTCGTAACCTCAGAAACTCCGATTTGAGTGCAACTTTCACTTATGCATTTTAGTACTTTACTTAACATTTAGTGTAGGGGTTAAAAAGTTAGGTACCTAATTTTATAAAACGATAATAGTTATATGTAATAATATTAAACCTGTGGTAGGGCCACGCAACTGTTCGCAGTTGCACGAATGTAAAGGTGAGTATAGACTACAACATTTACTTGTAACAGAACAACGAGCCGCTCTATGATATGTTCTAGTGCAGTGATTCTCAACCTTTTTTTTGTTGCGGCGCATATTTAAAGATTTCAAAATTTGGCGGCACACTAAGAAAAAGATAAAAAATATTTACTTACTACAACACACTGCATAGTTTATGACAAAAATTTTAATACGAAATAAACTAATATATACTACAATAATAACTAAACGTTTATTAAGGGATTAATTACAAGCTAATAATAAAAATATTTTTAATGCGAAATTTGAGCTTGATGTTTTTTGATAATTTCATTTATATTTGGTCGTAAAAATGACATGCTACTCTCATATCGTCTTCTACATTTAACAATCTTGATCTTTTTTTAGTTTTAATGTTCGCTAATGCCAAAAAATATTTTTCTTTTTAAATGATATAATTTAATAATATTAACATTATTATATATTTGCAAAATTTGGCGGCACACTTTTGAAATTTGGCGGCACACAAAAGTGCCGCGGTACAGTGGTTGAGAATCACTGTTCTAGTGTATCATCCTTTCACGAACTAAACGTCGAGCACGCTCGCCTTTTTGTTACAAACCATATTGCATATTGGTGTAACATTTCGTCGAACCACGAGTGCGGGCGATGCGCGGATGCGATTTCTATTTTTCTTTTTTCTTCTAATATAATTCATCAAGATAAACGCAGCACACGCAACTTGTAGGTCCTAAATTTCAAAAAAGAATGAACGCAAGGTACAACGAAATGTTGGTAAATGCACACTCGCTGTGAGCATTTACCCGTAACATAACGCCGAGCATTCGGAACGTTACATTACGTGGAAATGCTTTGAAAACTGAGCTTTTGCGTGTATTGTACCATTCGTAAGAACGTTACATTACACAGAAATGCTCCAGAAAATTTTGTAGTCTATACTCACCTTCACATTAATGGACGGACCTGCCGTCCGTCCAGTAATGTAAGTACTACGACCTCAGTGCTGTGAAGTCATGCGTGAAGCGGTAGTGTCATACTTCTGCGTTTCATCTGGTGAGTGAGGTAGCCGGGGCCCACTTTATTATAAGGTGGCAACGCATCTGCAACCCTACGGGTGTTGCAAATGTCCATGGGCGGCGGCTATCACTCGAGTGTGAAAAGTAATGTATGACAAAAAAAACGGCCAAGCGCGAGTCAGACTCGCGCATTCGCGGTTCCGTACCATTATCTACAAAAGCCGCAAAAAAATCATGTCTGTCCTATGGGAGCGTTACTTAAATACTTTTTATTCTGTTTTTTAGTAGTTATAGCGGCAACAGAAATACATCACCTGTTAAAATTTCACCTGTCTAACTATCACGGTTCATGAGATACGGCCTGGTGAGAGACGGACAGACAGACAGAGAAAGAGAGACACTCAGACAGCGGAGTCTTGGTAACAGAGTACCGTTTTACCCTTTAGGTACGTAACCCTAAAAATACTATAAAACAAACATCTCATATTTTGACGTTCAATACGAAATCAAATAGTTATGTAGTTATAAGTTGACCATTTTACAAATTGAATAGTAGATATTTTGCCTTTTGCAACTTTAAAGATATCGCGGGCGGGTGTTTCAGAGAAAGTAGTAAATAAAATAATAAAATAAAACTTGAAAGCCTTATATTATATGGAAAAGAATAGTACCTACATCGTTCATAGTTTAAATTTGATATTAGGCCTAAACCTAAACAACAATAATTTCTATTTCTAACCTATTTACTTAGATTTAACTTTCGTTATTACTAAATTATTTATTATATACTTTTTAGACTTCCGTACCCAAAGGGTAAAACGGGATCCTATTACTAAGACCCTCTGCGGTCTGTCTGTTTGTCTGTCCATCTGTCACCAGGCTGTATCTCATGAACCGTGATAGTTAGACAGTTGAAGTTTTCTGCGATGATGCATTTCCGTTGCCGCTATAACAACAAATACTAAAAAAAACAGAATAAAAAATATTAAGTGCGGTTCCAATACAACAGACATAATTTTTTGCAGTTTTTAAAGATAGTGGTACGGAACCCTTCGTGCCTGGGTCCGACTCGCACTTGGCCGGTTTTTTTATTACTAAATTATATGTTAATAGTAACATTGTTAGGGCACTCCAAACTTTTTTTTATATTTATATTGGGAGAGGAAATTAAAAATATGTGAAGATTCCGATGCGAAATATAGGCAGTTAGGATCAAGCTCACTTTAAAAGATAAATAAGATCACACAATATGTCATCTCAATCAAAGCAATCTGTCCGTCAATTACGTCTTATGAGTGTGTACACTCGAGTATACACTCTTTCCGGTGCACTTACGGGCTCATACCAAGTGACATAATATTATTTTAAATTTTTTTTGTTGTGTGCGTACTTTTTTGGTAAATAGATTAATTTTCCTTCTTCATTTCGACATTATTCAAAACAGTCCTATTTTGATGTGATAAAAAATGATCCGTGTCTTAATACTCCAATATGGACACCCTTAACACTGGTCGATTGACCTTGGGACGCGCGGACCTTGACGGATACCGGTCGTAAAACGAGATCTAATGTCCGATGCTCCATTTTTATTATTCATCCAAGAAACGAACTTTTACAATTTACCTTAATCATAAGAGTAAAACAACTGGTTGGAGTTGTTAAAAAAAAAGTAAAAGTTCAAAAAGCCCGAGTGAGTGTTTAAATAGCTTACATTTATGAAAAGACCAATATTCCGTTTGAATGGAACATTTTTATATTGACCCAATGATATTTTGTGGTATCATTATTATTACACATTATTATATTATCATTATATTTGTATTTATATTGAATTATAATATCATTGTACTGACCGTTTTTTCACAATATTGCGTCTGGTTGCCGCCATATTTAATTTTGATTACTGTCATGTCTCTATTGTCTATTGGCACTAATGATACAATTCAATTTGTGATTGCGAAACCGAGGATGGTACAGTAGACCATCTATTCTGTAAGTGTTCCAAGCTAAACATCTCTCTTAATGACGTTCTACCCATATACATAACCTTATTCGGCATAAGAGATTATCCAATTCTCATGATTTTGTCTAAATTTTTTTCACACTTGGTGTGCCCGCGACTTCGTCCGCGTGGAAATTAAAATAAAAGCTAGTCAGTGAAAGTCCCGCCCAAATCGGTCCAGCCGTTTCAGAGATTAGCCGGAACAACAAACAGAACGACATGGTTAGCATTTTAGCAAATAACTAACACTAAACGCGAAGCACTGGGATTGGAACCCGTGACCAGACGTTTGCAACCGCTGCGCCATTGGAGACTAAAACGAGTCGGCTTTTCATGCGACACTCAACGCGTAATGTCTTTTTGAAGTTATACTTGTTGGAAAAAATCATGAATACTTAAAAAAATTTTTACGTCGCGCTCGCACACCGACAGGCGGAGAGCGACTATATGAAGTTGGAAAGAGACCAACTACACGGTATCATCATGGCAATCAATAAATACTTTGACATTTACCTATAATTCCAAGTTATTTAATTAAACCTCTATCAATTATTAAATTTAAAACAACAAGTAAAAGATAAACATCCAAAAAAAAAATCGTCTGTGATTTTTTTTGGATGTTTTTCTTTTGTTACGCTAAAGAAGTATAACTTCTGACGAGCACACACGTTTTTTGTCAATTATTCACTTTTAGTAGAAAATAAAAATGCAATCAACACGAAGCAGACGAGACGTCGAGATTATCGCGCGGTGTCGGCCTAGCTTAGTGGTTAGAACGTCTGGACGTGTAATCCGGTAGACTCAGGTTCTAATTTCGGCAGCGTCGAAAAATTTCGCCACAGTTCTATCACTACATTTTTTAAGATTCGACTTGAATGCAGTAATTAGCACAGAGAGTTAAAGAAAAAAGCCAAACAGCTCGATGGATATTAAAGAAAGTTTTGGTTATAAATTTAAGTGTAAAATCAGAAATTAAACTAGTGATTACTAGAAATATCCATTCTTTATGATGTCCTCAATTCGATTATATTATACTAAATAAATATACTATTGATAAAGTAAACAATACCTAATATTATGCGTAATATTATCGGCTAAGGATATAGGAGAGATATACATTAGAATTAATGTATAATGTGATGAATTTATAACGTTAACTTGTCAGTTTACTCAACAAATTAGCAATCAACTTATTGTATTAACACCCCTCAAACAATTAAGTGTCCCTTGATAATTAAATTAATGTCATAGAAACGGGCTGACACACTGAAAGCGCGAAAGTCACGCTACTAAAGTCTTCAACATACATAACGATAGAAATGCAACTACATTATAACGTTAAAAGAGTCGAAAGCGGACTTAAAACTGAATTTGTACACCGCACTAAATAAAAGAATTTATAGAAATTATAAATTTGTCTGTACAAATCGTCGGGCTGTTTCAAAAGAGTTCATTTAAGTTAACATATTATCGTAGTAACTCACCGGTTGTTTCTGTGAAAACGCGTCTGTATAACAGAGATGCCGGCCGCGTACTAATGATACTAATGTAATTGACTGAACTGAAAGCGACAACAACATATAACTTCGCATAGTGACGGTCTATAAATAGCGTTTTACGTTGACAACGCTATCGATATTACAACGGTCTTGTTATTTTTCAATCTGTTAACGTTTACGTTAGTCTTGTGAAAGATGCATCAATTTCATTTATAAACGCACGGATGTGACACTTATTTACGAACGTGTTGTGAATTCTACTCTGTGTCTAAGAATAGAATGATAAAAGTTTTATAAACAAAGTTCTGCAATAATAAAGGTGATTTTGTAAATTACTAACACTCAAATAGTACCCTTAAAGAATACGGGTACTATTTGAGTGATCTTTTTACATGACTTTTCTGAGCCTTCCTATAACAATGCTGATTCTCCTTCTAGTCTTAAAAATATATCTAGTTACATACCTAGTATATATAGTTACTACTATGTAGTAACTATGTATGTAGTAGTTTCTATGTAGGTATAATTTAAATAGTTCAAAATGCTATTTCTAGAATGCCAACCTATCGAAATAAACTTGATAATGTTCATCATGCAAGTACAGTGCTGCGGTGTTATCCTTTGCCACTAAACTCATTAAAAGTTGATCAGTGTACAATGCGAAATTTGCACTGTACAGTGATCCATCACCGAATGGTAATTTAATATGTACAAATAAGTAGTTATCAATGAAAGTTATTATATTTTGAACATTATTTAAACAAATTACCAATAAACGGCATTATCAAACATTTTTATAGGAATTTTTTAAACGAAAGTTGTTATATGAATACATTAACTTTATTATTCTTGTTTTTTCATAATAGCGGCAAACATAAGCTATAAAATAGTCTTTCAACTGTTAAATTTAATGAACGGTCATGGAAGTTACGACGTAACGAAAAAGAACAACTTCGAAAAATAAGAAATACAAAATACTTAATGTAATTAACAAATTTACTGTGAATTTGTGGCAGCATCGATACATTTCTGTTTTATCCTTACAATATAAAAACTACATGTGTTCCATCAACACTCGCCCACAATTGAACCTAAACGCTATCGCATGTACTGTAGGAAATTGCTATTAAAAATGTTTATACAAGTTATCGCGTTAACAAACAACGTTAACAGCTATATGCTACAGTCAAACAACGATAGCAGCACTTGGTTCCGCTACGTCGCATGGCCTCAGACAGAGATTCAAAGCCGAGTACACAAAATCTTAAACGCTGATTAATGGAAAGATTTTTCCCGAAATGCGACGCGCGCGCGTACGCGCGGAAAAACTAAAGAACGGAATAGATTTTATAATTATCTCGTAGAACGACTTTCGCAACGAGTTTTAAACTTTGATAGATTTATTTTGTTATTGTATTTTTGGTATATGATAGATTAGCTGCTGCCCGCGACTACGTCTGCGTAGAATAGGCTGAAGGCATAATATTTAGAAAGAAAGACAGATATACATAAAATATAGCTATGTCTTATTCTGATGTTTAAGCTATATTATTGTAAAGCTTCATTAAAATCCATTCAGTAGTAATTGCCTGAAGGAGTAACAAATTCAGAGTAATGAATCCATCCATACATACAAACTTTCGCCTTTATAATATTAGTAAGGATGTATTTTTTTTATGTCAGAAGATAACGAGCTGGCAGTTAAACTGATGTTAAGTGATAACCGCCGCCCATTGGCATTTGCTACACCTCTAGGAACTACAACACAGGAATTAATTCCTAAGGTAATTATAAATAACAAAATATAACATCATCATAATGAAATATACATAATATAAAACAAAGTCGTCCCGCTGTCTGCCTGTCCCTGTGTATGCTTAGGTCTTTAAAACTACGCAACGGATCTTGGTGCAGGTTTTTTTACTAGATAGAGTGATTCAAGAGGAAGGTTTATATGTATAATACATTGCACCCGTGCGAAGCCGGAGCGGGTCGCTAGTCTGATAAGTACCACGGCCTCACAGAAGACCGGAGTGAAGTGCAAGTATCAAACTCGCGTTTCGTCTGGGCAAGGTAACTGGGGCGCACTTTATTAAATCTTGTCAACGAATCAGAAACTAACGGGCGTTGGTGATGTCCTTGGGCGGCGGTATTCACTTAACAACAGGTGAACCCGCTGCTCGCTTGAAAAGGTTTCAGATGGAAAACGCCAGCAATTTTATATAGCATAATAACATTCAAAGATTGAAGGCGCCGTTATAGGAGGGTTTAAGAGATTAAAACGATTATCGCTGACCGGGTATTAAGTGTTGAAAATTCGCTATACGTATTACGTACACATTACGATTGTGATACATCAATCCTTATACCGGACTAACGCCCGGTTTCTGAATCACTGATCATCGTAGAAATTAACTAATCAGCTGTCAAATGATTTTTCAAATGCCATTTAAGTTGCCAAATGGAGGGTTAAACTCTCTGAGTTGATCAGAATAATCTTCTTAATGATGAATGTTAATGGTACAAAGAAGGAAACATCGGGTGCCCGATGAACCATTCGCATCGACCATCGCAACTACATTTTGAGCGGTTTTTTTTTAATTCTATATTTCTAAATTATATCACTGAGGTGTTTAATAATAAACATGTGTGGAATAATTTTACAAACACAATAATTATGCGTCAGTCGCATGAGTAACAACTGTTTCCGGAAGACGCTATCGTATAGACCAGGGGTGGCCAACAAGTCGATCGCGAGACTAATTTTGGTCGATCACTCGCAAGTTCGGGGTTTGCGAAAAGTATCTCATTAGAAGTGGGCGATATAAATCGTATCAGATATGAAAACTAAATATTAGTACAATATCTGAATATCGCTTACTGGCTCGTTCAATATCTATGTATTTTACAATATCTGATATTTCCGAAATCTGATGTACCGTGCTCGCTCGCTATACCGACACGAATCGCGATATCATACGCGTTTCCCACAATATCTGATTTTTAAACAGATTTCGAGCGACAAAGCGCGTGAGATATAAATACTCACTAGTTAGAGCGGGACGGCAAGCAATGCACGATATCAGATATCGAGCGACAAAGCGCGTGAGATATAAATACTCAAAATATTTTCAAAAAACCAATATTGAAGTCACAAGCAGTAACAACTGCATCCTTCAAAGTAAGCTATCTATTAGCTAAAAAATGTAAACCATTTTCTGATGGTGAATTTGTAAAGGAAATGTTCTTGGAAATCTCGGATTCCCTTTTTAATGATTTTAAGAACAAGAGCGAAATTACTGCTGCAATTCAAGATCTACAACTGTCCCGAAACACAGTGATGCGACGAATCGAAAAGATGGGTGGAAATTTAAAGGAACAGTTACAAAATGATATTAACAGATGCTCTTGTTTTTCTCTTCAATGTGATGAATCGACAGATATAAGTGATACTGCACAGTTACTTGTTTTCATTCGTTTAGTTTTTGAAGATTTTACATCTAAAGAAGAATTGTTGGGTATGATTTCTTTGAAAGAAAGGACTAGAGGTGTAGATATATTCAACGGGTTTAAAAGTCTGCTTAATGATAAGAAAGTACCTCTTTTTAAATTAGTTTCAATAACAACGGATGGCGCAGCTGCAATGATAGGCCGCAAAAATGGATTTATAGCCCTATGTCGAAATGACGATGAATTCCCAGATTTTTTGAGTTACCACTGTATAATTCACCAGCAAGTATTATCCAGCAAGAGACAAAATACAAAAGAAGTAATGGACATCGCGTTTGAAAATTCGTTTTTTAAATTTAATTCAATTCGTGGACGTTCTCTCAAACGTCGCCTTTTTCAACTAAAACTCGATGAAGGTCAGTCTGATTTATTATTGCATACTGAATGTAAGATGGCTAAGTAGAGGTAAATTTCTGCAACGATTTCGTGATTAATTGCCTGAAATAATAGAATTTCTTAATGAACAAGAGAAAAAATATGAATATTTAAATGACAAAACCTGGCTTAGTGACTTAGCATTCCTTACAGATTTTACTTCCATATTAAGCCATTTAAATTTAGAATTACAAGGTAAAAATAAAACAATAATTGATATGATTAGCAGCATAGATGCATATAAAACCAAATTTATTTTGTTGATAGAAGATTTACAACAAAATAATATGAACCATTTTCCAAATATGGCAGACAACTTACAAAAAAATAAAAATATTATTTATGAGATTGACAAGTACGTGGCCGAAATACAAAATGTAATGGAAGATTTTGAGAAGCGATTCCAAGATTTTAAAAAAATTAAAGAAATTGTGGAATTTACATCTTTTCCTTTCAAAAAAGATTTAATTGTGAAGGAAATTAGCAAAAAAATTGCAGACTTATTTGATTTGGAGCAAAACGCCTTGGAAAATGAATTTTAATTTTACAATCTGATTTAATCTTACAAGCCAGAAAATTTGAAGAAAATTTTTGGAAATATGTTAACCGAGAAAAGTATCCCAATATTATCAAATGTAGCGAATATATTTATTCTTGCTTTGGATCTACGTATCTGTGCGAATCGGCATTTTCATATTTACAATTGACTAAAACTAAACTTCGTTCCGTCCTGACCGATTCTCATACTGAGGACTCATTGTTATTGTCTTTGTCAGGATATACTCCAAATTATGATGCACTAGTAAAGGAAATGCAGACTCAGATTTCTCATTAATTTAAAAAGTTTGAATGAATAAATGTTATTAATAAGTGCTCATGTTGTTTTAATTCCTCTGGACATAAGTTTTTTAACCCATTAAATAAATACTCATGTATGTAGATTATTTACCCCTTAATCATGGAGCTCGCCAAAGTGCACGTCGGTATAAAAGCACATTGCAAAAATATCCCCTTCTTACCTAAAAAATAGGTCGATCGCGACACAATTTTAAAATAAAAAGTAGATCTTATGTGCACCAAAGTTGGCCACACCTGGTATAGACGATATCGACCGAATTAAAAACTGTTTTTTTTTATTTGGCCTTTACATTATTTATTGTCCCACTGCTGGGCAATGACCGTGTAGATTAGTGGTA